AGGGCAGTGTCACTGGCCCTCATATGTGGGATCCGAACCGGGGTCCTCTGGCGTCCCAAGCCAGCTCTTAACCATCGCGCCACTCGGCCAGCCCTCCCTTCCTCTTTTTATCAGCCAGCCTCATTGCACTGTTTCCCATTTAGGGACCACCTCATTGGCTCTTCTCTGAAGCCTGCTTGAGTCAGTTCCCCATTCAGCTGAAGAAGGATTGATTAAGTACCTGGTAACCTCTAGGTGCTAGAGGATCAAAAAAGAAAGAAGAGCTCCCAACCGGGGGAGAGAGGAACTGTGTGCACAACCCACCACAGGGTGGGGCCATTGTGAATGAGACGTTCACAAAGGATTATGGGAGCGCTGAGAAGGGGCACTCATTCTGACTGGTTTAGGGAAGAGTCACAGAAAAGGGTCATTTAATATGGGCCTTGTAAGCTGGGTAGCATTTGCCAGAGGAAGGGTGAAGGTAGAAAAAAATCCAAATATCCAGCGAGCACAAAGGCACATGAAAATACAAGGCATATATCAGAATATGGTGGGTGAAGAGCATGTCATATTAATACTGTATTTCACTGATTCTAAGATGTGCTTTTTTTTTTTACATCTCTGAAATGGAGATGCTTCTGACAGTCAATAGTATCTTACATTTATCATTGGCAGTGTCTTCCTTTCTTAGTGGTACATAAAATAATGGCAATTCTTGTCATTGATGGCATCTCATAGTCAATGGAATAGAGTAACCTGCTCTGACTGGATACTTACAGAGTGTGGCACTGTTCTAACGCCATACGTGAATTAGCTCCTGGAGTCCCTACAACAAGCCTGTGAGGTATAGGTATTATCATCTTCATTTATAAAACTGGGAAACAGACACAGAGGGGTTAAGTAACTTGCCTAAGGTCACACAGCTAGTAAGTGTTGAGATGTGAATTCAGGCTGCTGCCTCCAGAGTCCATACTCTTTTTTAAAAAATATAATTAAAATAATTTTAATTGTGGTTAAGAAAACACATAACCTTGAACCGACCATCTTAACGACCTTCAGGGGTACAGCTCAGTAGTGTTAATCATCATGTGCAACCTCAGAGCCCATGCTCAACCTCCATGCAAATGTGGAAAATAAAAACTTATTTGGGAAGTAACATTCAAGGGAAAGAGAAGTATTTAAAATGCAGCTTTACCAGGTAGAAATCATCTAAAATGGGTAGGTATTGAGTCTGAGAATTAGAAGCTGACACACGCAAAACTAAAAATGCTGATTGTGTTATGGTGAGGTGATGGGCTTTTTGCCCCCTTCCATCACCCTGCACCACCTGCCTTTTGAAAATGTCTATAGTATTACTGTTACATCATCTTTTCAATTAAAAAAAAAATTAAACCCATGGTGCATTTGAGCAATGACAGTGGCCATGCATGGTTGGATCATGGGGTACATAGTGGGGATTGGGGCAACGAGGCTGAGAGGGGCCCCAAGACCAGGAAAGGGGACTGGACCTGAGCCCACAGTCTGATACAGCCCATGAGGCCTCAGTCCCACTGCAAACTCTGATTTCTCTGTTGGCTTGGGATGCAGGCGCCAAACATAACAGGACAGCACGCTTTTGGGGCCAGGGTGCCATTGGCTTGTGGACCCTGTGGTGGGTTCTTTTCTCTTTTTACTTCAGTCCTATCTGCATGACTGTGGTTGGACCCGGAAAGCTGCTGACCTGCCGGGGCTGCCTCCATGCTTGGTGTCAGGAGACGAGGATGGCGCGCGACAGGGCTGCTGCACCCCTAATTCACTCTCCTGGGAGATCCCCCCGCCTCCCTGTTGCCCTCTCTTCACCACCCAGCCTGCAACAAGAGCAGCAAATCTGCTGTGGCCGCCCAGCCAGGGCCAGTCCGGACGACTTTACAAAGGTTTCCTCTAATCCTCATAGAGACCTACTTTACAGTGATGACAGCCAGGCTTGCAAATAAGAGCTGCCAACTGCCTGATTCCAGAGCCCTTGGTCTTTCTTGTCTACGTTGAGCTGAAGGAACAGACACAGTTCTCTGTCTTCAGGACCCGGCAGCTCCCAACCCTAACTGGAGGGGCCCCTTTTCATCTCTCTCAGCCCCAAACCCACAGATGTTCATCCGAAGCTTTCATTCCAAACAACCCCTCTCTCCCCACCGCCAATTGGGATCACCTCCTCTCTTTAGGGGACTCGGTCTGCTGCTAAAGTCACATCAGTGATGCAGCTGGCCAGGCTCTTGGGGTGTGATCAAGTATACGAGGAACCTACGTTCTGGGTGGCAGGTAAACTTGAGGAAATCTGAGGCCTTCCAAAGAGATTCTGCAGAGGCTCCCTGCCCGCTCAGATCCAAGACCCCAGGATAAAGGAGACCCACAGACAACGGATCTGTCAAAAGCAAGCACACTCTGGAGGCCTGAGGGTTCTTCCTTTCCTGGGTGTCCCAGCTGAAAAGCTAATGCACAGCGGAGACCAGAGACACAGGATGTTGAATATATTTTCGTATGCTTACTCGCCATCTGTGTATCTTCTTTGGTGAGGTGTCTGTTCAGGTCTTTTGCCCATTTTTTTCATTGGGCTGTTCATTTTCTTATTGTTGAGTTTTAAGAGTTCTTTATATATTTTGGATAACGAGCTTCTGGCTGGACCAGCTCAAACCGAGGTCCCTCCCCTGGGCAGCCAGGCCTGACTGACCGGCCATCTAATCACTCACCAGCGATGACAGCAAAGTCAGCCTCCACGTCACAGGCGATGACATCCCCGTTTCGTATGTGGTTCTTCACAGCCTCCTTGACTTTGCCCATCCCAAGCTCATTACCTCCATCACCGACCCCTGGAGGGAAGGGAAACTGAGTCAGTATACAGAATCAGGAAAATGGGGGGTGGTTGTGGGGCCTGGCATCCCCTCCACATGTCCTTGTTGCCTCAGGGAAGGGAAAGGGGTTGGCTCTGGCTATATTTTCAGACAACCAGGAGATGTACTTCTGCTTCACGTATTCTAGAAACTTCTCTCGTGAAAAATGAGTCAAAGTTTGGAACTCACCAGAGTGTGGCTATGCCCTCTCCTGGGTCACGTTCTCTAGTCACAGATGGAATGCCCTCTCTGCTGACAGGAGTATGGTGACACTCAAGACTTCCTCTCCTTCCCTGAGTGGCTCCTGTTCAGGAAGGGGCCGCAAGTCTCTGAGCCCCATTAGTGTGACCAGATGGCATTCCATTGGCGGGAGAGAAGTGGTATAGATTTTTAAAGTCAATTCTGTAATTTACTTTAAAGGCTTCAGTTTAAAGAATGTGAAGTGTACGTGGGTCCTGGGTCCATTAATTTTAATCTACACCAACCAGAGGGCTGCTGGTTATGATCTGGAGTAGTTTAATGAGGAACACACACCCCGGGGCGGTTGATTAGCATCTGAAAGAGATCAGTCTCAAGGCCAGTCTCAGCACTAGCATGTTCGTTAATTCGCATAATAAATGCTAGAACAAATAGGTTAGAATAAATAAATGTTAGAAATTATTGAACCCATTGGTGAAATGAATGGTGTCCAAGATAGATGAATTGGCTGAAAATAATTAGCAGGCACCTCCACCCTTACAGGAACAAGATGAAAAACTCTAACAAGCCCTGCAGCCTGTAGCCTTTGAGGTGGTACACTCTAGCAACATCATTCGGTCCTGTGTCCAGGTATTTCTGGAGGATTCTGTGAACTAGAGGTCAGCTGAATCTGCCTCTAGAAGATGGCTGCAGCTGCCTCATGATAACCACTGGCTATCACTTAGTGCTTGTCCAAGTGACTCAGGGGCAGAGGGCCCGGCTTCCAGAGCCTACAGAACAGTTATATAGTCAGGTGTCTCTTATTGAGGACATGTTCTGAGAAATGCATCATTAGGCAATTGCATTGAACATCCCAGAGGCGCACACAAACCCAGATGGTACAGCTTACTATTCACCTCGGCTCTATCTATGGTGTAACCTACTGCTCCTGGGCTATAAACCTGTACAGCAGGTTACTGTACTGAATACTGTAGGCAACTGTACCACAATAGTATCTGTGTATCTAAGGATATCTAAACATAGAAAGGGTACCATAAAAATACGGTGTAAAAGATAAAACATGGTTCATCTGTATAGGACACCTACTGGGAATGGAGTTTGCAAGACTGGAAGTGGCTCTGGCTGAGTCAGTGAGTGAGTGGTGAGTGAGTGTGACCTAGGACATCACTGGACACTGCTGTAGACTTTATAAACACTGCACACTTAGGGTGCACTAAATTTATAAAAAATGTTTTTCTTCAATAATAAATTTACCTTACTGTAACTTTTTTATTTTATAAACTTTAATTTTTTCAACTTTTCGACTCTTATAATAACACTTAGCTTAAAACAAAGGCATTGTACAGCTGTACAAATATACTTTATTTTTTAAAATTTTTATTGGGTAACAGCATGTTTTTTCCAGGATCCATCAGCTCCAAGTCAAGTCATTGTTCTTCAGTCTAGTTGTGGAGGACGTAGCCCGCCATCCCATGTGGAAATCAAACCGCCAACTTTGCTGTTCAGAGCACAAGCTCTAACTAAGCCACCCAGCTGCCTCCAAAATACTTTTCTTTTAATGTCCTTATTCTGCAAGGTTTTTTTTCTATTTTTAACATGTTTAATTTCTTTTTTGTCCTTTTAAAACATTTTTTGTTAAAACTAAGACACAAACACACACACTAACCTAGGCCTACACAAGGTCAGGACCATCAATATCACTGCCTCCCACCCCCACCTTCCCACTGGAAGGTCTTCAGGGGTGATAATATGCATGGATCTGTCACCTCCTATGACAACAATGCTTTCTTCTGGAACACCTCCCGAAGGGCCCACCTGAGGCTCTTATTGGGGAAGTGTCACTCTTTTCAGAAATAAATCCATGGTGGTTTACTTGGATTGCTTCTTTCTTCCATTATAGATTTTCTTGTAAGCAGATAATGCACCATGAACATTCCTCTCTATTAGTGAAAACCTTTCAGTGTTGGGGGTCCATGTTTTCAAACTTTTTAAGGAGATTATTGAGGTCTGCCAAAGCTTCTGCTAAACCTTTCACTGAATTTTCTTGGGGGTTCTTCTTCTTCTTCTCTGGCAATTTCTCTTTTCTTTTCTCTTGCTTCTTCAGCTATGTGTTCCTGTTCCAGTTCCAAACCTTCTCATTCGTCATTTCCTCAGGAATCACCCCTAGGAGCTCTTCAATGTCATCTTCACCCACAGCCAGGTTCAAGTTGTTTGCCGTCACGACCACAGCCTTGGTGATTTTTCATCCTTCTCATCCTTGGGAAATCCTTTGAAGTCATTGAGAAACCTCTTGAATGTCTTCTTCCAGATGCCCTTCACATAATCCTTGGTGACATCAGCCCAAGCCCAAGCAAGGTTCTCGATTTAGTCATAGATGTTGTAATCCTTCCAGAATTGCATCAGTGTCTCCTCGGTGTCTTCCTCAGTTGTAGCAACAGCCCGGGCAAAGGTCCTCCTCAGGCAGGAGGCCTTAAAAGCTGCAGTAACTCCTTGATCCATTGGTTGGATTGAAGCAGTGGTGTTTGGGGGGAGAAACCCCACTTTGATACTGGGATGAAGGATGTCCAATAAAAGGATGATGTCTGGGAGCATTGTCAACAATAAGAAAAATCTTGAAAGGTATGTTATTCTCCAAACATACATCTCCATTTAGCTGGCACAGCCATCCAGGCGGGCGTCTTAGAAGAGAAGCTGGGTCATCCATGTCTTTTTTTTTTTTTTTTTTAAAGATTTTTATTGGGTAATTGGGGGGATGGGAACAGTACTGGGGAATTAGGGGAAGGGGAACAGACAAGTTGCTGTCGTTTTGTTCTTCAATCTAGTTGTGGAGGACGTTGCTTCACTGGCCCAAGTTGGCACCATCATTGCGCTCTTCCCTGGCGAGGCAGATCAGGCGCCGGCTTCTGGACGGCCGCTCACTGCGGCTGCTGGCCGCTCACGCTGGCTGCTGGCTGCTGGCTACACACGGTAGCCCATGGCAACCCACTGCCACAGGGGCTGCAGCCTATGCCGTCGCCAGCGACTCACGGCAGCCCAGCTCCAGCTTGAGCTGTTGTTCAGCATCTTAGCTGTAGAGGGCAGTGTCACTGGCCCTCATATGTGGGATCCGAACTGGGGCCCTCTGGCATCCCAAGCGAGTTCTTAACCATCGCGCCACTCGGCCGGCCCCCATCCATGTCTTCTTATTGCTCCTGCAGAGCACTGGAGGGTGTGCTTTCTGAAGTGTATGAAGGCCCTTGGTTCTCACTGTGCCAGATCACACAGGGTGTGACTGTGTAGCCTGCAACACTGCCCCCAAGCAAGACTGTGACCCTGTCCTTAGAAGCCATGAAACCCGGCATTGATTTGGCCTCCTTATGGGTGAAAGTCCTGTCAGGCATCCATTTCCAGAAGAGGGAGTTTTCATCCATACTGAATATTTGTTCTGGCAAATCATTTTCTTCCACAATCAGCTTATCTAGAGTTTCTAAAGGTCCTTCAGCTGCTTTCACATCAGCACTCACAGACTCACCATTCACTTGAACATAATTTAATGATAGCGATTCTTGTATTGTTTAAACCACCCAGAGCTGGCAGTAAAAACATCATAGTTGGGTCAACACCACAAACAAACGTTTTGCTTTGGCCGTCATCGTCATGGTGCTGAGAGAGATACGTTTCTGTGTCTGGTCTTCAGTCCAGGTTATGAGAAGTTTCTCCATGTCTGATATACCGGTAAACTGTTCTCTAATTTTTGTTAGTCTCATTGCCTTCAGCGAAGCAGATCCTTTAACAGCTTCTGTCACTTGGTTAATGATCTTCAAGATTGTAGCTATGGTGGAATGAGATATGTCTGACTGGCCAGCAACAGCCATCACTGATTTTCCACCTTCGTAGTCCTTAATAACTTTTAATTTCATTGCCAGGTCAATCACTCAACATGGCCTCTTACTGGCAACATTAGCAGGGGCTTTTGTACACTTGGGGCCATGATGAACAAGCAACACAAGATTAAATCAAGCACAAGATAAATGATGCAATCAAGAGACATGGTAAATATGAGATGTATGAGGCTGCTGCCGGCATAACATGGCATTCTGTTTTACAGCAAACTTTTATATATATATAGCGTATTCTCTAAAATAACAAAATAAAAATATAGTAGGTTAATTACTAAACCAATAACATAGTCATTTATTATCATGATCGAATATTGCGTACTGGACACAATTATATGTGCTACACTTTTATATGGCTGGCAGAGCAGGTTTCTTTACAGCAGCGTCACCACAAACACACGAGAAATGCGTTGTGCTGTGATATTAGGATGACTATGATGTCATTAGGCAATAGGAATTTTTCAGTTCCATTATAATCTTATGGGGCCACCATCATATATGAGGTCCATGTTGATTGAAACATCATTATGCCATGCATGACTGTATGACAGTTTTTGTATTTGTTTCTACAAAGGCTTGGAAAATGTGGAAAACTCCACCAGAGGTTAGCATTCAGTTGTAAGATGGTGGAGAGGAACTAGAGCTGGACCCAACCTCGAGCATGAGAGACCTGGACTCGGCCAAAAGAATCAGACAATTGTAAATGACCAAGTGCCTCAGGTCCACATCTTGGGGATTTTTCTCAGAACGGTTTTCTAGATCCATGACAGCCCAGTGAATGGAGAAAAATAATAACAACACCTAGCATTGGTATTTTGTCTATTTCTGTCTCTGCTCTTTTGCATTTTATGAATTTCATCCTGTTCACTCCTCAGGCCAGTCTTGTTCGTGGCCTTGTTTTTGTCACTGAGCTCGCAGAGTCTCTGAGAAGGGCAGGACTTGGGTAGTAAGTGTAAAGTGGGTGTCTGGACTCTCAATTGAGTGCTACGTCCACGACAAGGCAGCTGCTTGGGGAAACTGAGGAATGGGGTGTTGATGGAGCAGAGAAGTGAAAGGACATTCAGGGGTGGCCCTGCTGTGCAGGGGGCTGTGGGAAGCCGCAGAACGGGCCTGGGCATCCAAGGGTCCACAAAGAGGGCAGCTGGAAGGTGCAAACAGCCAGCTCCACCTGCTTCCTCTGGGACCTGAGGCGGGGGCTCATTTTGGGGGGCACAGATTGGGGGTCTGCTCATCAGGAAAGAGCAGCTCCTTCAGACCCTGGATGCTCCTTTGGACTCAGAGACCCTTTTCTTCTTCACCCTGGGAATGCCTCCCCCAGGCCTCAGGTCCTGCGCCTGCCCAGCCCAGAGAGACAGGAAGCGCGAAACCAACTGCATTGTGGGGTACCACACCCATGGCCTCTTCTGGGAAAGGCCAGGGAGGTTTGCAGAAATTTTCTACCCAGCCCGGAAGACTTTCATTGTCTCATCAAAACCTTAAAAGCCTAAGGAGACTAATGAGTCTGGGAAACACTCTGAAGAAAAGGGATAAACACAGAATGGCAAACATGCCTTAATGATTCCAGGGTCTGATACCTACCTACCCCCAGGGGAGGAAGCTGGTTCTCCTTAGGAGTTACATGGAGCTTTTCAGAGATTCACAGATTTCATGGCAAGCATACCTGGTAGTGTCCTGGGAGTCTGGGCTCTGCTCCTGATTCTCCCAGCAACACTAATTAGCTAGACAACCTCAAGAAGCCCCACTAGAGCTCATTTTTAGACACTATACCCGCCCTATCTGCCTCACAGGGTTTTAAAGAGGCTTAGACAGTATAATGGTTGTGAAACCTCTTTGAAAACTATGAAATTTTCAAATTTCATACAAATACAATCACAACTATTATATCTTTGGCAATCAAAATACTGCACTAGTCATATATTTGTGTTTAAAAATTAACGTGCTTCATAAGGTGGTGCATAGTGCCCATGTATAATACATGCATCCTAAATGGCCAAAATAACATGCCATGCCTCAATTTTATTGTTACTATTTTATTATTAGTTTTAATATTTTAGAGCTGGGCAAATGGAATATGCTCGGTTCCATGCCATCTCCCTTCTTGCTTGTGGGAACACTGGATTTCTAAAGGACGGTGCAATTATTGTTTTTAGGGACCATAATAAAAGACCATCTCTGGAGTGGAAAACAATGATCCTCATAGGACTCTCTCCGGTCCTCTGTTCAACAGTCAATAAAAAGGCATTTAGTGCTGGTATGGTTTTGTTGAATTCTCGGTGCCCCTTGCTTACCAGTTGATGAGATTCCAGGAATCTTCTGCGCAGCAAGGAAAAGATCGTCAATGGGGTCAACCAAGTGCTTGATGTTCACTTTCCTCGCGTTGTAATAATTGCCGTCGGCAGCCCTTCCTGCGCGCTCTATCGCCACCAGGTGGTCGAATCTGCCAGGGAGCAAGCGCATCCGGTCCTTAATAAGAGTGTGGCTGCTTGTCAGCATGTTTTGTGTGGAGGACACTTCATTCTCTTTGATGCTTTCATTCCTCCTACTATGACCACCTATTATGTGCCAGGGCCTGTGCCGGGGGCTAGTCTCTCAGGTCATTTCAAGAAATAATATCAGAATCTTTAGCATTTTATTAGCGTCAGTGGCTGTGAGGACTGGAAGGCTGACCGTCAGGGTCCTGTGGTGGATTCTGCTGGAGCCCCACCCAGATCTCCATTAACCAGTGGGGAGCCAGCTCCCAGTGGCTTGAGTGTTGGCTGCTACCGGCCCACTGCTGCCCTCTTCCAGGATCTTGTTCCGTTTACAGACACAAACAGACTAAAAGGGAATTGAAATAGTAGACAAATGAATCTACCGCAAAATAAACTTTAGACAGAGAGAGAGGTAAGGGGCACAGATGGCATGGCGGTAGGAATGGGGGCTGTGGAATCGGGTCCTATAGGGCCTCGTGCCACTGGCCTTGGGCACGTTGCTTAACCTCGCTAAGTCTCATTTTCTGCGTCTGTCCGATGCCCTAACAACAGTGACTGTTTCCTACAGTGTCGAAAAGGGTTAAGTGAGAAAATGCACAAGAGGCGATTAGCATAGAGCTTTGAAACCGACTCAGGGCACTGTGTTAGCGGTGGCAGTGGCTGTTCTTATTAGGAGGAATATTGCTTTGATGATCCAATTTAAGAACACAAAAATTGTACTTTTATATCTCTTTAAATCTCCCCCAGGGTGGAGTTCTTTAAAATCTCAACTCTGCTGTGGAAAACTATGTGATGGTTCCTCAAAAAATTTTAAATAGAATGACCATATGATCCAGCAATTCCACTTCTGGGTATCCACCCAAAAGAATTGAAAGCTGGTTGTCAAAGAGGTATGCATACACCCATATTCCTAGCAGCATTACTCAATAGGCAAGAGGTGGGAGCAACCCAAGTGTCCATTAATGGACAAACAAGCAAAATGTGGTATGTACATGCAATGGAATGTGATTTGGCCTTAAAAAGGAAGGAAATTCTGACACATGTTCCAACATGGATGAACCTTGAGGACATTTTGCGAAGTGAAATAAGCCAAACACAAAAGGACAAAAACCGTATGAATCCACTTATATGATGTCCCTAGAATAGTCAAATTCATAGAAACAAAGTAGAATGTTGGTTGCCAGGGGCTGAGGGCTGGGGGGAATGAGGAGTTAGTGTTTAACGGGGACAGAGTTTCACTTTGGGAGGATGAAAATGTTCTGGAGATGGACGGTGGTGATGGTTGAACAACAGTGTGTAAGTACTTCATGATCCAGAACTGTACACTTAAAAAGACTAAATATTACGTTATGTATATTTTACCATGATAAAAAGAAATTTAGCTTTGAATGCTTTCTCTGTACATGCTTTTTACAAACAAAGTCTTCATGGCTGTCCATTTCCCTGGGTTGTGCTAGAATGTGGTAGCATCATATATGCTTGGGTGAGCAGGCCTCTGAGTGGGTACTGGAATTCATTCCTGAGGTGGCACAGCATGCCCAGTGCAGGAAAGGCAGCCCCTGGGGAGCAAAATCAACAGGAGAAGGGAGCTGGGACCCTGAGTTTCCTCTAGACCAGGGATCGGCAAACTTTTGAGACGGAAGAGCCTCCAGGGGTCAGCAAACTGTGGCTCATGAGCCGCAGGCTCTGAAGTAAAATTGAAAATGAAAATGAAGCTATCATATTTTCATTTATAAAATTGTTAAAGGATATTATTCACATAATGGTGATTATGTGAAAATATATTTATGGCTCTTGAATAATTTTTAAATTGTTATGAGGGACAGGATTGGCTCTTCCAGTGGTCGGCAAACTTTTGAGATGGAACGTACCCAAAGAGCCGCATGTGGTTCGACAGCCGCAGTTTGCCGAACCCTGATCTAGACCTATGTCAACAGTGATGAAAGGCAGGTGAGCACAAGAGCTCCAGCTGAGATCAATACAACCTCTGTCCCCTGTCAATGACCATTCTATTGGGTTGTTGGAAAAGTCACGACACATTTTTGTATTGATAAACATAGAAAAATATATCATGACTTTCCCGATGACCCAATACTTTCTGTTTCTGGATCTTCCCTCAAGGAGAACTCAGTGACACACCTTGTGAAGGTAGGGTGATTTTTTTTTTTAGGCCAGAAGGGTCCATTTAGCTTCCGCAGGAAGTACTTCACTCCTGGGAAGCCTGCTCCCTGGGAAAAGTTCATGGCTCTTCTCCAAAGAGAGCAGAGCCCTCTCTCCCCACAGTCAGACCTGGCGTACCTCCCTCCACTCGGCAAACAGAGCAACAACCTGTGTTATCTGGCATCAGGGTCCCACCCAAGAGAACTTTCTAGCTTCTCCCTGAGGAGCCAAAGTGCTGTTTGTATGGCAACCACTCTGGGAATATAAACATTTCTAACATGCGCCACACGCACATGCTCGCGGCTTTCAGTGGCAAATCGGATCCACAATCGAACTTTTCCCTGGGGACTCAGGGTCCTCATTATGAGCACCTGGTTCTGTGTGCGCTGCATTATAGCCCTGCCCTCCAGGCCTGTTAAAGCAGCGTTCTCAAATTCTAAGTGGACACTCATTAGTGGGCTGTGAAATAGATTCATTCGGTCAGGTCAGCATTTTCTGAAAAGCAGACAAGAACAGGCGAATAGAATAGTAGAGAATAGAATAGATCAGAATAAAAAATATCAGAGCACATTGCATGTAGCAAGAGTAAATATTGTTTTTTGAAATTTCTGTTTCAGTTGTGTATGTGTGTGGTTTGCAATGCAAAATGTATTATTCTTGACTGTGGTCAAAAAGTTTGCCAAGCAGTATATTAAAAGTTGTAAGGTCTGAAATACATCCTACATACAATAGTGTTTTGCAAAATGTTTGAACACAACAGTTAGTAAAAACTACACACACACACACACACACACACAGTGTCACAAGCGAGTACTTGCCATTACTATACAAGACATATTTCATCTTCCTAAGGTGCTGGATACCCCCCCTCCACCTGAAATGATTTTATTACTCTCTAATGGATAATGACCCAGTTTGAGAAACTGCTAGTTTTTGTTTTATATAACGTTCCTGTCTTCTCCCTCTGTTAAGAAGACATGCCATCTCTCAGGGACCTGCTACTTTCAGAAACCCCCTGTGAAGTCCCCAGTATACCATGAAACCCCCTGCCTCGTTGGTTCCTCCGGCCCATTGGCACTGCCAGGTTCATGGCTTTGTTGTTTCTGGAGGGCTGAGGTGTGCAGGGACGTTGCTGTCAAAGTTGATAGCACACGGGCTTTTCTACCGTCACCCACTTTAAGCTGGGAGGGCACACACATACCTAGGAGACGTGGGGTTCCTATTTTCACAGAGAAACGCCTGAGCTGCTTCCGCTGATCTGCCTTGGTAAGTTAATATTGGGGTCTGTGTCTTCAGAATACCTAGAGAAGAAAGGCAAAGGGTAGACCCATTAGCCCTGGCACTGCATTTTGGAAATTCACATTGGCTTTTCAAAAGCTTCTTTGGGGATTATCATTTTGATTACTGAATGACATTTACCTATAGAACACTTTGTTAGGTAAGCCAAGACCTGAGTCTTTTAGTCCTGAGTAAAGCCTAGATTGGTGGAGGGTGGGGGTGGAATCAAGCTAGTGTCACCAGTACTGTGGGCCAGCAAATACGCTCCACATAGATGCCACAATGTCACCTGAACAGAGGCTTGGTCTGGGCCACTGTCATCGTGATTGCTGGGGACACACTTAGGTGCACATGGTGACAGTGAGCCAGCTCTCTGCTAAGCATGTGACATGAACTCTCTCATTTAATTTTCACAACACTTCTGTGTGATAAGAACCATTGTGACCCCAATTTTATAGAAGAGGAGAACTGAGGCTCAGAGATTCTAAATCACTTGGGCAAAGCCAAGTCCGTAAGTTGGTGTCTCAACACCAGTTCCCACTCCAAATAGGGAACCTGACAGGGCAGAGGACATAACCCAGACCCAAGTGGGGTGCACATGGTGGGAAAAGACCCCTACACCTGAGCCACAAAGAACCAATTTATCAATATGGACAACTTATACTCAAGACAGGGAACAAATGACTGAGCTTTTTCTTCTTTAAACATTTCCTAGGCTTCAGTTATAAAAAGAACTGAAATCATTTTCATTAAATGCTCAAATCTCTTATACTTTCTTCGTCCACACATAATGTAAGTTCTGTAAAATCCAGCACAACAAATTGTACCCACTAAGCCACGGTGTGGGCATGCCCCAGGGCTGAGCTAAAGTCCAGTGGGAGCCTCTGAGCCTGCGACCAGGTAAGCAGGAAGTCAGAGCGACTTCTGGGAAAGTGCCGGCTAAACATATCCACCAAACCAGTTGTTAGATGGAAATGATTGCTGGCCTGTTGGTGGCAGTTGGCACAGTTGGCTGTCCCTTCTTTTTTTTGTTTTAATTTTTTTATTGGGGAATCGAGCGGGGGACAAGTTGCTGTCCTTTTGTTCTTCAGTCTAGTTGTGGAGGACGTCGCTTCACTGGCCCATGTTGGTATTATCATTGTGCTCTTCCCGGGTGAGGCAGTCGCTCACTGGCCATTGGATGGCCGCTTATGGAGGCTCTTGGCAGCTCACGCTGGCTGCCGGCCGCTCATGGTAGCTTATGGCAGCCCACTGCAGCTCCACTGCAGCCTATGCCGTCGCCGGCGACTCACAGCAGCCCAGCTCCAGGTCGAGCTGTTGTTCACCATCTTAGCTGTAGAGGGCGCAGTGTCACTGGCCCTAATGTGGGATCTGAACCGGGGCCTGCTGCTCAGAGCTGGAGTCCCAAGCCAACTCTTAACCAATGCGCCACTCGGCCGGCCCTGGCCGGCCCTTCTTGATGACAACACGGTCCCTTGGCTTTCTTTCTTCCTTGGTGCTGCTCCTTCTTTGTCTCTCTGCTGACTTCCCCTCTTCTCCTTCACCTCTTAAGGTGGAACATCCCAGGGCGCAATCCGGGGTCCTTTCCTCTGTCTCCATTTATTCCCTCAGTGATCTCATCCAGTGTCTTGACTTTAAAAGCCATTAATATGCCGACCGCTCTCCAATTTATCTTTGCAGCCTAGACTGCTCTCCTGAACTTGACTCGTACATCTAACTGCCTGCTTGACTTCTCCACTCGTGTGTCTGGTAGCTAGCTCACACGTTCAGTTACCCAGCCTCAATCCTGCACTCATTTTAAAATTGTAACTGTGGTAAAATACACAAAGTGTAAAATTTACCATCTTACTCATTTTTAAGTGTACAGTTCTCTGGCATTAAGTACATTCATGGTGTTGTTTGTCACCACCATCCATCTCCAGAATTTCTGCATCTTCCCAAACTGAAACTCTGTCCCCTTAAACACTAACACCCCATTCCCCCTATCCCAGTCCCTGGCACCCACCATTCTACTTTTTGTTTTTATGATTTTAATTACTCTAGAGACCTCATATAAATGGAATCATACACCATTTGTCCTTTTGTGTCTGGTTTATTTCACTTAGGATAACATCTTTAAGTTTCATCCATGGTGTAGCATGTGACGGGATTTCCTTTCTTTTTAAGACTGACTAATATTCCATTGTATGTAGATGCCACATTTCGTTTATGCATTCATCCATCGACAGACACTTCGGTTGCTTCCACCTTCTGCCTATTGTGAATAATGCTGCCATGAACATGGATGTCCAAATATCTGTTCAAGTCTCTGCTTTCAGTTCTTTAGGTGTATACCCAGAAGAGAAATTGCCAAATCATATGGTATTTTCTATTTTTAATTTTTGAGGAACCACTGTATCATTTTCCTCAGTGGCTGCACGATTTTATATTCCCACCAACAGTGCATCAGGGTCAAGCCCGCTCCGCCCTCCATCTTCCTCACCCCAATGCCCAGCAACTCCATTCCTTCGGTTAACTGCCAAAACCTTAGACTCTAAGCAGCAGTTCTCAACCTGTGGGTCGTGACCCCTTTGGGGGTCGAACGACCCTTTCACAGGGGTCGCCTAAGACCATCGAAAAACAAAAAGATACTTACATTACGATTCATAACAGTAGCAAAATTACAGTTATAGAGTAGCAACGAAAATAATTGTATGGTTGGGGGTCACCACAACATGAGGATCTGTATTAAGGGGTCGCGGCATTAGGAAGGTTGAGAACTGCTGCCTTAGAGCAACCCCCGATTCAAGTCTCACACCTGCATCCAATCCACCTGGAAATCATGACTCGACCTTCACAATACAGCCTGTTCTGGCTACTTCTCACGACCTCCGCCTGTACCATTCCTCTGTCTGGGTCCCCTGATAGCAGAGTCTGAGACAAAGACCTGAGTGCAGGTGGTTTATTTGGGAGATGGTCCCAGGAGGGAGTTGGGAGGGATCAGGGAAAGAGGACGGGAAGGAGGAAAAGCCAATAGGAGGGTGTGTGCATTTTCAAGGTCACTGCTCTAAGCAAGGAGGCCTCAGTTCAACTGGGACCGGCTTGTCTCCAAAAGATGAGACGCAGGGCACTGGCCCCCATCCCCCACTGTTTGAAGGGGCCCTGGAGGCAGTCGCCCCCAAACTTCCGGGCTGAGTGGGGTTTTTTTACAGCTTTGGAGAAACCCTGCAGAACACAGGCTTGTGGTGGGCCGGTCCGGACAGTGTGACTCAGAACTTCCACCCCAGCCATGGCTGAAATCACAGGGGGCCAAAGGGATGCGTTACAGGGCACCACCCACACTCTAAGCCACCCTCGTCTCCTGCCTGCAGTAACCTGGCCAGTCTCCTGTTTCTACCCTTGTCCCTACAGTGACCCAGGTGACCCTAAGCCAGAACATGGTCCTTCTCTGCTCTGTGGCCTCAAGGGCTTCCTGTCTTACCCAGAATAAAAGGCCAGGTGCTCAGAGTTCCCTTGAGGCCCTTCTGGTCTGGCCCCTGTGACCTCTCTGTCCTTCTGTCCAGCTCCTCTTCCTTTCATCCACTCCAGGCAATTTGGCTGGCCATTGTCCTCTCTTAAACCTGCTGGGCCCGCACTCCACCTAGTGGCCTCTGCCCTGGTCGTTGTCACAGCCTGGGACACTCTTCCTCTAGCCAGCCCCAGCTCCGCTCCTTCAACAACTTCAAATCTTGGCTCAATAGGCACCTTCCGCGTGAGGCCTTCTCTGACAATCTTTTTTATGGCAGCCCAGCACCTGAGCTGGGCACTTTGCATCGCCCCTGTACCGTTTACTGTCTGCCACACTCCATTAGAGTATACATGCGCCATGAGGGCAGGGTTGTGGTCAGGCGTGCTCACCGCTGGATCTCAAGAGCTGAAAATGGTGCCCAGCACATAGTGGGTGCTCAACGCACATTTGTTGAGTGACTAGATTCCGTATGTTCAGACACAACCTTTTTGAAACTTCCAGTGTGACTGGTGCTTTAGGGTGTGCCTTCCTGGGGTTTCAGAGGCCACAGGGAAAAACATTTCCTGAAGAATGCATTTTGAGGGGCACCAATAGACAGGTGGTGGAAAGCAGGTGAGATTCACCAGGCTCCCAGCTTATGCCTGAACAGCACCTGCAGGATGAGGAGAGGTGAGGCACCTGAGACCTGCCTCGGCATCCTAGCCCCACATCAGCGTCACCTGTAGCGTCACCTGTAGCGTCACCTGTAGCTACAGGAACCTGGGCAGCGTGCAGCATCCCCCCATTTGGGCCACATGGGCCGCTGCTGTCTGAGGCTTTCAACCTCTATTCTTGACTATCCCACCTCCAACTCTGGGGGTCCAGCAATGTCCTGGGTAGCTAAGAGTCCTCTGTAGGTCACCCTCGCCTCTCATAGGAAGGACAGCAGGTACATGGGCTCTGAGGCCCGGTGGACCTGGGTTCAAATTCCAGCTCACCATTCCCGCCTGGGTAAATCACCTGGACCTCTCAGAGTCTCGGTGTCTTCATCTATAAGATGGGGGTAATGTTGCTTATAGCACGGAGTTGTTCTGAGCTGTAAGGAAAATACCCCAAGCCAAGTGCACAGCAGAAGTTACACAAACGCTGATTCCCTCCACCGTCCGCCCTCATCTCATGGCTCACCTTGCTCAACAGCCTCTTCAACAAGCTTCTCGAACAAACTCAAGGCTCTCTGGTCAACGATCATGGAGACGCCCTTCTTCAAGGCCTGCAGGAAGGTGGCCAGAGCAATGGCTCCGGGGGGACCATCTGTCTCTTCCGGAGGCTCGTGTTTGAAATGCGTGGGGAACCCAGTGGTGAGGAGCACAGAGTGGGCATGGGACAGCGACAGGGAGGCCCTCAGCAGCTCATCTTTACGGAGCAGGTGCCCGATCCCCCTGTTGCCTGAGATCACACACACACAAAAATAAAATAAAAATTACAAAATAATGTAATTGTGTTTCAAGGAGAAACTTATGCAAACAGTAGTTTGGTATTGTTTGTTTCAGAGGTGGATTTGAGGGATGTGCCAGAGATTGTTTCCCAGAACGGACTCTCTTCCCCCGCCCCCAGTAGTGAAGGGTAGCTGGGTAAATGGCTGGCCAGCCTCTCTTTCAGTTAGCTGTGGCCACGAGACTAGGTTCTCTCTAGGTATAGAGTGGTCAAAAGGGAACTTGAGTGGAAGGGGTGTGTATTGCCTCCAGGCCTGGCCACACACCTCACAGGTACTCCTCCAAGCTCTTCCCTTCCTGGCCGCTGAGATGTTGATAACTGGCGCCCCCTGGGGGTCTCATGATGTGATGGCAGAGCTGCTGGGTCCCTGAGTGACTGGATGGAGCAGAGCCCCCTTCCTGCCAAACTAGAACACACACCCTGGAAGTCCCACCTGGACTGCTGCTTGAGAGGCATATATATCTGTTGTATTTGAACAAAGCATCTTGGGGTTTATTTGTTATAGCAGTTTAGCAAACCCAAATACAAGGAATATAGAAGGAAGAAAGGACACAGTACTGTCTTAGTTGGAGATTCCCCCCAAAAAAACTTAAGACGAGGGCTTGGGTGCAGATATTTCAGTGGAAAGTGAGTCCCAGAAACCAGTCAGGAGATGCATGAGGTGAGATAGAAAATGGAGAGAAGGCATTAAAGGGTGTGTGGGTGAGCAGGCTGACTCCAAAGGCATCTGGGGATCAATCTTGCTTGAGCTCCTCTAAAACATGGTATGGGACACATATAAGGACAGGGAAACTGGGCATTGCTGCACTGGCTCCTGTCTGCTCTTGGGTGAAGGTTGCCCATTGGAACATTAACTCCTTGGCACTCTTGGGCTGTGCCTTCTCTGGTGGAGCCTAAGGTGGGAGCTGTTATGCTAGGAACTGCCCACTGCAGCTGGGGTTTGCGGGGGGGGGGGAGCGCCAGCAGCATCTGCTATAGACACCTCCAGTGGCTGCCAAGCCAGTCCCAGCTGGGCAGCACGGTCTCCTAACTCTCATCACATACTGTGGTGCCTTTGTCTAGTCTCGGGTCTCCTCAGAGCATGTCTGTCCATGTAAAGGTAGGATGTGACTCCTAACTTTCACCCCAGCTGTGGCTGAAATGAGAGGTGGGCCTCAGGGACATGAGAGGACGCCAGCTTGCTTTTGAGGTGCCTGGAGAACATGAAGGGACACAGGGTTTGGATTCCTGTGATGGGGGAAAAGTTCCAGTCCAAGTGTTGGCACATCGTCATGGCGGTGTGACCTTGACCTCATCCTCGATTGCTCTGAACCTCAGCTTTCCTCCATGGAGCATGGGGGTGGCCCGGGTGGAGGAAGGCTGTGGGGAAATGGCCCCTCACACACTGCCAGTGGGAGTGGGAACCGCCACACTTGTCTGGAGGGTGATTCATACCTTAGATTCATATATTCCACTGGAGCCAGCAATTCACTTGTAGGAACTTATCCTAATAAAGTGATCGCGGGTATGTATACAAACATCATCACAGGATGTTCACTGCAGCATTGTTTATGGTGTCAAATAATAGGATGTTAATAACATTGAGGGAACATTTGTAAAATGGAATTCTATGCAAACATTAAAATGGTGCTGTAGAAGACTATACTTAATGACATGGAAAGATGTTTACAGTGTGGTTAAAAAGTGAAGAGAACAAGTTCTAAAATAGTATCACAGCATGACTCATATATATATATAGTTATTGTTTGTTTCAGTCTTATAGGGTCAAGAGTGAAGAAAGACTTTAAGGGCAAACATTAAACTGTTAATAATAGTTATTTGTGATGGGATTCTGATAATTTTTATTGCTTCTTTACGGTCATATATTTTCCGATGCTACTATAATGAACATGAGTTACTGTTGACAAAAGGGAAGAAAACTAACATTTTTAAAGAAAAAAACTGGACTGTAACCTATTTCACAGGATGTGGTCAGCACCAAAATAGAGAGGAGGGAAGAAAGCACGCTGTCAACTTTAAAGCGATCCGTACATTTATGATGATTTTATCAATAATGCAAACATTATTATAAACCCTGTATTCCTTCATATTATCCAGGCTTGTCAAATGCAAACCAATGTCCTCTTAAAAATAACTTCGTGACTCTATTATTATGCCCATTGAGTAATGATCGGTCCATTGCCATTAATCTTTTATCTGCTTATTGAATATGGTAGGAATCAAAAGCATTTCTTATTCTGGAGAGTTAAAGCTGTTCCTTAATGGATGATATTGGCACATCCGGACAGTCATAAATCTGCCTTTATCCTGAGCCTCAAGCTTCTACCCTGACACACAGTCTGCACAAGCGCCAAACGGAGGTGTTGCGGACGGCCTCCTGGGTCATTTTTATTAAGCCATGGGCGCACCGCATCTGCAGTAAATTTGCTTCCCAGTTACTTTTCTATCAGAGCTAATGGCAGAGTCAATACTTCATCTTCCCTTATGCCCCTGGTGTTGAGTGCAAGAGCAGCCAGCGTGGGTAAGAACGTTTGTGAGAGAGAAAGTATTGCAGAAATTTAAAAAAATATCCACCAAGGAGATCAGCTATGTAAGAGACTCTGTATACACAGCCATGAGCATTCACCTCTATAAGTATGTCCTAAAAGGTGCATTATGGCGGGCCAACTGCCACGAGTCGATCAGTACCTAAATGGGGGAGTGGGAATGGACAAAAAGACACTCACACAAATGCTGATGCGGCCGGTCTTCAGTGATGCTAAAGCCCCGAGTTTATTTCCCATCACCAATATATGCAGTTTGAGTACGTGCAGTTTAACAATGAAAACATGCATTACCTCAGCGAAAGTAAATCTTTAACTTTTACATAGAAACTATAAAATCACTGAAACTCCCAAAAGTAATTATCCCATGACAGAATCTATCAATTACCCCGATAGCCATCAATCCTCTGTGTCCGGGAACTGGCCGTTCTCACCACATACCTCAGCAACTTGTAAGCACCCTCCAGGTGCAGGCAGAGACAATGCCTTAGGAGCAGAAACAGGTTAAGCATTAACTGAGCCAGTCTGTAAGGCTCTGAATTACCTGTAACCGTGGCTCCCCACAGTGCATCTGAGGGGGTATGTCCCAAATTTACTGTGTGTCTGTATTTTGAGGAAACCATATTCTTTGCAGAATAAATGAATGAACGAACAAACAAATGAATGACAGAAAAACCTAACAGACAAACAAACAAGCAAAAAGCTATGTCCTATGTTTTCACAGGAAGTTTTGCTACTGCAGAACCCTCTGTAACTGGGGGGGCAATCTTTGCTCCCAGGCCCAGGGGAGAGATTGGCCATTTGTCTGGCTGGTCTCCTCTAACAGATTCTGGGCCACGGTGTCAGCCAACACAAAAGGACACCCAGGCTGTCTGCTTGATGGCCCCGGCCAGGCACTGTTCTCTACCCCTATGTCACCACGGTCAGCTGTTTGGGTCCCAGGAGTCGGGCCTGGAGGGTGGACCTTCCAGGTTGGCCTCACTCCTCTGCTCTCCACAGGGGTCCCACCACCATCGATCTAGGTATCTACCTGAGGAGCAGGTGTCTGGTGGGCCAGCAGAGAGCCACGTGTGCCTTCTCCAGACAAGGAGCAAAAAGCCCCCAGGCCTAGAACCGCAGCCCATGAGAAGGGGCAGGAGAGGGAATGGGGTGCGATTCAGGACAGGCTGGAGCACTCTTCAACTGCCCGAGGGAGACTGTGACATACCAATTAGGCTCAGACTCCACTTCATTCAACACTTACTGAACACGGGTACTGGGTGGGGTCAGCGGGCGTGGGTTCAAGTTCTGCCCAACCATCTGCTACCATCTACTAGGTGTGTGGATTTGGGCAAATTTCTCACCCTTAGGTGCCTCAGTTTCATCATATGTTAAAGGAAGTTAATAATAGCCTCATAGGGTCATTGGGGTAATTTAATGAGATGAAAAATGTAAACACTTTTAACACATGCCTGGCCTAGAGTAAAACTCAGTAGATAATAGCTATTATTCTTATTACCTATCACAGCCCTGAGATTGTTATTACTCCTGTTATGCTGATGAGAAAACTTAGGTGGAGAGCGGCTGTGAAGTCTACACCTTAATTTTCTGTATGCCTTCTCAGAAAACAAAACAAAACAAATTAAAAAAACACCCATGCACAACGACGCCCTCTGCTGGCCCCCTGATATTAGAAATTCGTCTTGTGCAATAAATGAAGATACAGCCAGAACAGTCCAGCTTTTAGGTCGACCAGCTTTCAGCAAACCTCCTCCTAACTGGAACCAGCAGACACCCTCCCCCCGCCCAACACACACACCCCGGGATCCCACTAGCCCTGCCTTGTCTAGGAAGCCAGCGGTTCACAAACCACAGGAGGGCTGTCCTTTCTCCGAGATGCAGTATACAGTATACACATGGGCTGCAAACTGCTGTGAGGCTGTCACTGCAGGGTCCTGCCCCAGCAGGAACCCCCAAGGAGTAGCAGTCCAGCCCCTGCCCCTACCCCTGCTGCCAGTACAAAAAAATCTGTTCTATGTCCAACCCCAGGGCAATGACACAGCGGAGAAGATTAGGGCCATTATTAATACATGGATGATGTTTAAATGGTAGCACTTGACTACCTAGGAACCACTCTCCCTCTTTTCTGACCTCCCCAGACCCAATTTACTTTGGGCAATGTGCCCAACTAATAAGCTCGCCTCCTAAACTGCCTCACATGTTTATTGTTAAAATTTTTGAAGGGGGGGAAAAAAAAGCATAAAGAAGAAAACGAAATCACCCATAAATCCCACTACCCAGAAATCATCATCACCATCGGCATATTGGTGCATTTACTTCTAGCCTTTTTGGGATTCATACAAAGTACCATAAACGGTTACAAAAATCATACTGTAGAAGCAATTTTATGCTGCTGCCTTTTTCACTGCAAATTACATCAGTGATGGGTTTCTCCAGGCCTTTAAGGTGTGAGTGCTTTGTTTCTTACCTGGGTCTACGGCAATTATAGTTTCGAGTTCCCTGATCTTCTGAGCAGCTGAAGCTGATGTGATGCTGTAGTGCAAAGGATCCTGGGAAATGAGGTGGACCTCTGGAATTCCCTCAGGGATGGGACACCTGGCTGAAGCCTCCATATCCTTCAGGTCGGTCATGACCGTGCAACCCGGTGCGCTCGTGAAAGCCAGCGGAGTTTCTAAAACACACAACAGGAAGGACTGAGCCCACCTGCTTCATCAAACCTACTCCATTTTCTTCTAGCCCACTGCTACGGACAAGATGGCGCCAGGCATCAACTCTGTCAACAACAGCCCTTCCACTGCTTGTTGGCCCCAGGTCAGAACAAGCTGGCTCATGGCGAAATCAAGTTCCACTTAAACAGGTACCTCCAATGTTTAGAGAAGTGAAGATGAGGTGAGTGTAGGAAGAGAAGTGAGCTACAGCCACAGCTTCAGTTGGAGTTTCCATTAGTTCAATCCCATGGGTATCGGAAAGTACTTACTGAATTTGAACTCTTACCATGCGCCAAGCCATCTTTCTTTACTTTGCATGCAGCAAATGTTAGATTTGCTAACAAATAGCTCTGAACATAGCTTCTGTTTTTCTCATAGTACTTATATTTTGCTTTGGTGTATGCTAATTTTGTTCTTTAAAAAACTCTGCCTTACTAGATTACAGGCGATGTGAAGCACTCCAGCTGAGTTTTTAAGGATACGGCAAACACACTTGAGCTTGAGATGTAACTTTATCCTCGCTAAACCTGTGCCCTCAACTGTAAAATAACGGTTATGCCTCATGTGGTTGTTGTCAGAACTAAATGGGAAATGCACATTAAGTACCTGGTCCAGTTTAAGCCTTTGATAAATGATGGTTTGCATTACTGGCCCAAGCACTGTATCTTACTCATTCTGTGTCCTGGGGCCTGGCCCACTAGGTGCTTTGTATGTACTAATGCTTAACTTACATCTGCTTTCTTCAGAGTCTTATTATCCTTGAGTACTCTAACCCTACTCAGCTGTGTGCCTCTGGAGACGAGGGACCGTTGCCTACTCATCTCAGGAGCCCACATGGTGGCTTGCACATAAAAAGTGCTCTGTAAAAGTAGACGTGAACTGAGTAAATAACAATGTCTTGGATTTCACAGAAAACAGTTAAAGGTCTCAGATTTAACGGAAAGCCAAAGTCAGCTAACACTTCAGCAGGAAAGCCTACTGATGGATGCATAAGGCATTCTGAAGAACTTTTAGACATGATGTTTAAGGGGAAGAAATAGGGATTTTGATGAAAGCAATTGTTTATCTGTGTTTTGGACAGCACCTAAAATTGGTCACTCTAAATCCAGGTACCCATCAGGACAGTCAGCTCAGAGTGTGACCCGGGTTATGTCTTGCCCCATCAATTGTGAGGTGTGCAACAATTAATATTTTGCTAATAGGAGTTTAAATATTAAAGTTTGAGCACGACTTTTGTAAATTAGAAAGATTCAAGGATGTCCCTGATCAATGAGTTCATTTGTTCTGATTTACGATCGATATGCTATCGCAAGTCAGAACTAAAGGGCTGGAGTGTGCTGGGATGTCCAGGGCAATGAGGCCTCTTCTGCAGGGCAATCCCCATGGCCAGGGCAGGAAAGGAAGGGTGAGGCCACCACGCTGGAGGGTATTTACCACATGCGTGTGCGTGTGTGTGCGCACACGAACACATGCTCACTCGGAAATGACCACAAGCTCCCTGAGAACTGCATCTTGTCTTGTGCAGCATTTTATTCTTAAGATCTAGGCCTGTGCTTGGCACACAGTAGGTGCCCAATACATTTATGTTAAATTAACAGGATGCCATGGGTCTTGGTGTTTATGCCTCATCACCATATTAGAGATCATCTTTTCCTATCATGAGACCATACTGATTGCTAAACTTCCATGAATGCTTCCAAACTAAACTGAAAGCAACACTAAAGTCTATGATTTGTAGTGCAAGTGTGGCTGACCTGGCTAGAATTTTCGAGTGTCTATGACATGGGCTGCAATAGTTATTATTTTTAATGTTTCCCTCACATCCCTTCCTTATTGTGAGCTAGTTAGGGCACCTTCGTGTATCTCTTCATTGTAATATCACCCTAGGCCTTTGAAAAAATGTACTGACGGTATTTCTTGCAATGACCATGTGAAATGGTTTGTTTGTTGTGTTACTTGCCTTCGCCTTTGCTTTCAAAGCCACACCAATCTCTAAAATGTCTCAAAAGGTCAATCTACATATTGGCCCTTAGAATGGGCTGTGAGCCTTCTGCAGAGAGAAATATATTTAAACAAGTATTTGAGATGAAGAATGAGACAAGCTGGTCTGGTGAGACCCAGCCCTGGGATGAATAAAAAGGAGCCAGAGATATCCTCGCTGTGGGCTATAGGTCTATGTTATCTGACTTTATTCCTTAAATCATTGCACAGTAAAAGCCTATCCTTTCAAGAACTAGAGACTCATCAGTTTCTATCCTAGGTCAGAGTAATTGCCCCCTTAAGCCCAGACATACTGCAGCTGATGACGGCTTCGAGGCTGGTTAGCGGAGAAGGCCAGAACACTGGGACATCCCCTGGCTGACACAGCACTGGATCCCCGTAGTCAGGTTTGGAAAGATCTTTGATTCCCAGCAGTTCTGCAAATGGAAAAAGAAAATGGGTTCTACCAGGTCCTGCCCTGGCAGCTACCATCCAAGTTGAACATGTTGAGTAGTTGATGGTTCTTTCTCCAGGAGGAATGCTGGTCCTGGGGTTGCTGCATGTAGTATTGGAGAAGGACTGGGAGGCAAAAAGGAATTGGAACTTAACAACTCAGGATGTTTGCTGACTTCTAGTTTATTCTGAGTGGGGCAGAATCATGAACCCCTGGTGTGATTGCTGGAGCAGTCCTGGGTGCATTTAACCCAACACCCTGATTTATCGTGGTACAGACTGAGTCACACAGCACAGACCTAAACTCTGTTGCCTGACCACTGACAGTGTCCCTTTCCCCAATCAGCCACAGAGTGCTCATGAAGACAGCAAAGATGGATGCATCGGGCCCACCCATCTCCATTCATGAGAAAACAATGAGCAGAAATTTTGGATTGGGTGGTCCTGAGACATCCTTGTTCTATGAGGAAGGTGGCAAGCGCTGACTGCATTGTCACAGGATGCCAGGCTTTGTCTGGTTTTGTTTGTTACACCGCTGAGCAAGTTCAGTTACACTGAATGCTGACCCGCAACCAAGGCCCAACTCCAAGCTCTCACCAGGCCCTCCGAAAGCCAAGAGGCCTGAGAAGCTTCCATCCTTGGATCTGCTCACTCACTCTCAGGTTGAGTTCAGACGTGGGGGATCAATGGATTTCAGTTCAAGTTGGTAACATTTGGGAGGAAGCCGTGTCCTGCCCAAATGTGCTGCTGAACAATAGCCTAGATTAGAGGCTGCTCTGAGCTCAAATCTCAAGACAAATAGCTCTGCTGCCACCCTCCACCACCTGCTTCCCTTACCCCGGGGCTCACCTGGAGTTCACGGGAGCTAATGGGTCAGGTTGGCTCCTCTGTCTAGGGCAACAACTTTAAATCTGAGGGGCGTCTGTACACCCTGACCTAATACGGCTGCCGGAGGACAACAGTGGGAGCTCAGGAACATAGCAAGTTCCCTTCTTCTTGGGCCAAAGTTCAAAGGCAGCTGTCAGAATTATGAAGGAGAGTGGACACTGACCTGGGTCGCCGATGTGAATGGGTTGTCCTTGCTCACCCACCATGGAGCAACTGGTCTGCACCAGCCTTTCCAGCATGTCCTTGGGGATGGGCCTCATTGTGACCACCAGAGGGCAGCAAAAGCCAGCAATGTGGACGCAAGGCACTGCTGTCTGCCAAGAAATCATGTACAAAAATATAAAATTAGTACTGATCCAAGCACTGAGTTCCAAGAGTTCAAGGCAGTGAATGAAGTAGCTAGGAAGTCCAAGCATAAAAATATAGCTTCTACTTTTATGCAACGTACAGATGAGGAAGTTTGCTGGTAATTACTGGTCTAAAACAGAGAGCTTCACTTGCTAAGTGCTGTGGACCCTTTCGGGAGCCTGGTGCAGCTACGTCAGAGCCCCGTCAAAGCAGTGTTTTTAACCGCGTAGAAGGAAATGCATAGGATTACAAAGGAAAGCAGTTCTATTGCAAATGCAGCTATCAAATTAAGAAAAAAAATGTGACACCGCAATATGTATGTTTCTTCATTAACAGCTTAAGGAACAAGACGACACATCTACCATTACAATTTCGAAGTAGTGACCAACGTGTAGGACGCTTTTGAGCTATTGGGAAGAACTGTAATATGACATGAAAATATCTGTGATTTCACTGGGCAGCCACCAAGTCACAGGGTCTGCTGATACGACCGCCGTTTGTTGCCTGCTTTCATAATGGAAGGAAATGTTCCATTTCAGTTCGAGGCTATAAAAATAAAAATATGATTGTTCTTCCCATCCCTCTGAGTGGACTCTCTGAATTTTTTCCAGGTACCTCAAGGGGCTGGTGGACCACAGGTGCAGACCTCTGGGAGAACTGAGGCAGAGGAAGCCAACGGTCTCCACGGCCTCATGAGTCCACACAGGGGATGGAGGCCCACGCGCAGACCCCACTGGGCCCGGCTTCACTCCTGCCTCAACAGAAGTTGCCCAGGATGACCTGTGTGACTTTCACTGGTGATGTTGTTTTTACCCCTGAATGGTTTCTGGTCCCTGCAATGGGGCTTATGAGAGATTTAGGACAAGGCCAGGATGATAATCTGCTGGGACGGTCTTGGCGGCCACCCGAAGGGCTTGCTGTCATCGCCCTGGCAGCAGCAGGAGGAAACCTTGGCGTGCCTGCCAGTTTGGCATCTGAATAACAGCAGTTGGGAAGGAGTGCATGCCCGGGTCACCTCCGGGAGGCAGGCAGTGCCCCCCGAGGCCAAGGGGCCTACTTCTTGGGGTGCGCTTCACCCCCTGAGGACTGCCAGCTGAATCCAAGATGGCTGCCTGGCCGTTTTCCCCAGGAGCCAACGGGCAGAGGCATCAATATTAAACTGAAAGTTGTTTGGTAACCACTGTGACAGCGAAGTATCATGGGAAAACCACGGCTCTGCTGACACTTACTGTGAGCAGGGATGAGCACCTCTGTGCAAAGCATCTTTTAATCGTCTCACCTACTGACAGTTTACAGATGGGAGCCAGGAATCCTGGGTTCCAGTCTGGCTTTGGGACTTGGGCAAGTCCTTTTTGCTCTCTAGGCCTCGGTTTCCTCATCTAAAATGTAAGGTTGCATGTGGGCCGTGAGGCCCTCCCAGCTCTTACCTGCTATAAATGGTGTCAGCAGCCGCCGTTTCACCTTCATGCTTCCCTACCTTCAAGAAAACCGCTCAGGCCCATATTTCATACATGAGAAGCAGCAAACACTGCGGGCAGCTTTGTTTCTCATCAGAGGCATCTCAGGCCTGTTTGGCAGGAGCCCAGACCAGCAAGCTTTAATAAAGTCCCTGAACCCAAGACGAAATCTCCAATCTGAGTCTTCCATACAGAAACCTGGAGCGGGCTTCTGATGCTGGCTGACCAAAGGCCCAGCAGGGTACCTTCTCGGACTTTACACAAATGTCCTGGAAGGGGACAGTGGGATAAGGGAATCTAGCTCTTTCCCCATGACAAGGAGTGGCTGGACTAAAACCTCAGAGGCACAGGAGGGAGGCAGCCCCTAATGGTGGGCACAGCCCAGAAGAGGTGGCCACGCTGTGTTGGTGACCACCAGTGGCCACCTCTGGCCAAAATCATGCCCCAGCTTTCCTGACAGAGACATAACCTAGCAGCTAAGAACTTGGCTGAAGCTCTGGTAAAATCCCTGGGCATTTACCTAGCCAGGCACATTCTCACTGATGCCTGGAAGCCCAAGCCAGGCAGGATTTTCAAAAACCTCCCTGAGATGCCCTCAGTTAAAGGAGCCAGGCAAGCTCCAGACAGGTTTGGTTTACACAGCCGCAGTGATCTGTCTAAAACTTGATTCATAGACTCAAGGCCACACTGGGTTTTCACAGCAATCCCAGAGGTGGGCAGGAGAAAGGCTGGTGGTCCCATTTTCCAGAGATGGAAACGAGTTCAGTGAGGTTAAGTGCTTGTCCTGGGTGGCAGAGCTGGAAAGTGGCTGAGAGGGGGGCCAGAGCTTAGATCGCCAGCCTTTTGTGCCAATGTTCTCCCCACCACAGGAAAACACAGGGTCACCCACATTTTCAAGTCATTGTGCCCTGTGGATTGTGTCCCTACCTTGTATGCACCCACGTAGCCGTGGCCTGCTGGGTCTCTCCTGGGGAGCCCCACCTTCTCCAAGGCCTCTTCTGGGGAGAAGTTCGAGCCCAGGAAGAAGGTCACCATGTCCTTGAGCTGTTCCGAGTGCTCCTCTAGCGAGGCCAGGCTACCCGTGCAGGCTCCGAACTCATACTTACGGAACTGGGGGCTTCCCGTCCTGGGGACACAAGGGAAAGTTCACAGACCCCTCAGACCCAATGTGAGCCCTGACCGTGCATTTTTAAAAAGGACTAGGGAATGAGAAGAAGACATCTGGGGCTGAAATTTCAGGCACTGGAAGGTCGTTTTGGGCAGGGGAGCTTGCTGGCATCCTTCAGATCTTCCCAGATAGAAAACTATTAAATCAGCATATATATAATGTAGCTCCTGCCCCCATCCTATTATATCTCCTGTAACCTCAACCCAAGACCAGTCAAACCAGCAAGAAGAAAAACAATGGTTTCCTCTCTGCCATCGAAGAAGGGACAGAGGGCACATATCTTAAGGAAACTCTCAGTGCTAGCAGTGGTGAGGCCTTTCTCTGTCCTTAGAGTGACTCTTCTGTGGATTGAAAGACTTGGCTACAAGCCTGTTCTTCATTCACCTCAAAGCCATGTTGCTGAGCCACTGCCCATGCCAGGCATTGGCCAGGTGATAGGGTATAGTGATGGAGAGGACATCGGCCCAGCCCTTAAGAAGCTTGAGATGCTAGATTAGCAGGTGATGCCATTGAAATCAGATACTTGCCAAACAGAGCAGTGAGTGCTAATAGTCTAGGTCAGAGGTCGGCAAACTGCGGCTCGCGAGCCACGTGAGGCTCTTTGGGTACGTGCATGTGGCTCTGAAGTAAAATTGAAAATGAAAATAAAACTATCATAGTTTCATTTATAAAAACTTTAAAAGATATTATTCACATAATGGTGATTTCATTTGCTTTCCTTCAGAGCCACATGTGGTTCCCGAGCCGCAGTTTGCCAACCCCTGGTCTAGGTAGAGAAGTGACACAGGGAAGGGAGAAATCCATGCTTTCCCACAAAGCAAGAGGTGCTAAAGTTGGGACCTACAGGACGAACAGGAATGCATCAGTTGGACAAGGAGGAAAGCCCATCCTAGGCCCATGGAGCCGTATGTGAGCAGTGTGGTGGCATCAAGCACCGTGGCCCACTGAGCCATCTGCTCTAGGAGTCCACAAGCTGGCAGAGTGGGAGGTGCCACGGAAACATGCAAAGGAGCTCGCCTTGGCCAGGGTGGTGGTGGGGGCCGGGGGAAGGAGGGGGAGGGGCCTCTGAAGGACCCTCCCACCCCTGGAGGCCACAAAAGGATAACAGCAGAGTGTTCCTGTGGGGCTTTCTGTCTGGGGAGATTGGAGCAGACCCTAAGCCGGGCCAGGTCACAACAGATCTTGATATGAGGCTAAGGTGTGAGCCCCAGGAGAGCACTGAAGAATTTTAAATGGGAGAGTCACATGATCAGATGCAGAGTTAGGAAGGGTCATTCTGGTGGGAGAGTGGTGGGGCGGGGTGAGGAGGAGAGGGTGACAGTGGGGCGAGGAGGCCAGTTACGTCCTAAGAGTTTAAGTGTGAGAAGATGGGCGTCTGGGCTAGGACGGTGAGAGACGTGTGGGCTCCCTGCGGCAGGATCAGTTGGGCCATTTATTGGATATGTTCTATTTTAAAAGTCTGGGAGAATATACACCACAGTATTAACAATGGCTGTCTCTGGGTTTTGGCAATGTAAGTGTTTTTATTTTCTTTTTCATCCTGTGCAGACAGGTTTCTGGCTTTGGTGATGGCGTGGATGGATGACAGTGCCAGTGGAACTTCTCCAGGGCTGGATTTCTTGGTGATACCAAAGATTTTACCCAGGGCAGGGGCACGGGCAGGAGCAAAGGACAGAGGTAGGAGCGGGGACGAGGGGCGGGGAGGGCAGCTCCTTCTTTGGCAATAGCCGTGAGTGAGGCTCCGTGCCAGGCACTGTGGGGTCCTAAAGCTGGACAAAGAGGTCCCTGGTGACAGGGACACCTGGCTGCAGCGTCTGGCTACTCCTAAGCTTTAACCCCAGTGACCCACACATTTTACCTGGTGTCTGGGACAGTGCCCAGGGTGGGCAGTGTCCACTGGCCTGGCTCGCTGTGGCCCAGCAGGGGTAGAGGGCCACTGTTGGCCTGGCAGAACTTTTCGAAGGCCGGGGTGAGGGACCTGTGCAGGACCACCACGCTGGCTGGTCGGAGCCCTGGGTTTGGCAAGAGAAGGGACACGTGCACGGTCAGTGCACCTTGGTAGAGCTTTCTTAATTCAACTTTCTATCGCAGCATAACATACACACAGAAAAATGTACGTATGTGTACAGCTTGATGAGTTTTCAGGAAATGAACATTCCTATGTAACCAGCATCCAGGTCGAGAAACAGACATTATCAGCATTCCAGAAACCCCTCACGCCCCTTCCAGTCATCAGCTCATCCCCCCCCCCCAGAGTGGCCACTACCCTGACTCCTCACACCACAGGTGACTTTGCCTCTTCTTCATATAGTGGAATCATACAGGGTGGGTCTTGAGTCTAGCTTCTCTCACTCACCAATCTGTTTGGGAGAACAATCCATATTGTTGCGTTTAACAATAGTTGGTTCATTCTTACTGTGTGGTACATTCACCACCACAGGGCATTTACCCCAAACCATTGTAGATGGGCATTTGAATAGCTTCCAGCATGGGCTTCTTACAAATGGTGCTGCCACGAGCATTTTAGTACGTGCTCTTTGGGGTACACATGCGTGCACTTCTGTTTGGCATACACCTGAGGTTGTAGGGTATATACATGTTCAGCTTCGGTAGACACCGCTAACCAGTTTCCAGCGTGGTTGTACCGATTTACACTCCCACCAGTGGTACGCGAGTTCTTGGTCGCTCCGTCGCCTCTGACCCTCAATGTTGCCTGCCTCTCCCGTTCCAGCCATCCTTGCAGGTGGCATGGCACTGTGGTTTCCATTTGTATCGCCCGGATGACTAATATGAGTGAGTGCCTTTCACATGTTTACTGGCCATTTGGGTATTTTTTCTAGGAAAGAGACTGTTCATGCCTTTGGTCTGGGCAGGTAGATCGTTGGCCGACCAGGCTCACAGAATCCTTGATTCTCCCTCCAAAGAGACGGTCCTCATGGAGCCATAGGGGAAGACCCCCACTTGCATACCATGACCTCCTCTGGGGGCAACCACCCTTCCTCTAGAGTGGGAAGCTTTGGAGGCAAACAACCCTGGGTGTGCACCCTGATTCTGCCTCTGACCAGCTGTGTGACCCTGTGGGTTTTTCCCATGGGTAAGATGGCAGTAATTACCGACCTCAAAGAGAACTCCGTAAATCCATTCCTGTGTGTAAATTACCCAACACACAGGTGTTCAGGACATAGGGGCTGGAGTTACAGTCATTCAATGGAATCTTGTTTAGACATTTAAAATTATGGCACAGAAGACAGATTTAATGGCATTAAAAGATGTGTTTGGGGTGTATCATTAAAGGAACAACACTAGGTAACAAAATATAGGTCAGCATATTCCCCTTTATATAAAATCGATGAGAGAGAGAGAAAGAACTAGAAGGAAATACATCCACATGTTAATCATAGTTAGCTCCAGGTGACAAGGCTGTGGGTGATTTTAATGTTTTTCTTTGTGCTTTTCTCAATATCCTAAAATGTATGCAATAAATAGGAATCCTTCTGTTAACTGGAGAAAAAACAAACAAGAAGAGTTATGTTTCCAAAATAAACAAAAAAATGGAGTGTTTCCTTTAAAAAGACCATTCCAAAGAAAAGCATAATTATGCTCTTTTTGGAGAAACTCCCTTAGGGACAACTTTCCTAACGCCAGATTTGCTCTTTTCTGCAATGATATTGTCAGCAAATATTTCCTGAGTGCTTAGTATGTACCAGGCTCTCTGTGCTAAATAATTTATACACATAATCATCTATCTGTATTTTACACATGCGGCTCAGAGAGATGACGTGACTTGCCCAGGGTTACACAGCTGGTGTGTGGCACCGCCAGGATTGAAACCTGAGACAGGTGGCCCATGAGTCCCCCTGCGGGCACCAGACCGCCCTAGAAGAGGTCCGCCATCACCTCTGGCACCTTCTTCTTGGGGATGGTGGAGTGCAGCACATGCCACTGTCTGTAGGGAAGAGTCTAGGACTGGCTCCTGCGCTAATTGCCTCAGTGGCTGCCAGTGCCGCAAACAGACTTCCAAAGCGAGGACAGGCTGGACCCCGCCAGCTGCTGAAAGCCCCAGGAAGCTGACTGCACGTCTCAAGCAAGTCCAGCATACCTTCCAAAATAACCTGGAGTGAGGCGGCAGGGAATGCAGCCAGCCCAGAGGCCTAGAATTCCCTAGCCACCCTCTTTCTACCTCCAAAGCCCTTGTGAGAGCAAATTGGAACTTTTAGTACTGTAAATCAGGGAGGTATTAGGCGCACAAAGCTCCTTTGTTTCCTTTTTAATTAAATGGACTTCAGAGGCACTGCGTTTTGGTTTTGTTCATCTCCACTTCTGGTCATAATAAGTCCCTGTGTCATTCCCATTAGTAACAGGACACAGAATAGAGGGCTGCGTGGTGTCTTTTGGAGGGGGGGGGTGGATGCACGAAGGGGGGGTTCTTCATGGTCTCCTGGGATATGTGCGTTCCTTGGGTCTCTTGGGCCCCATCTAAGGTTGCAACGCTTTCTCTTTGTTCAGAGAAATGAACTGAGTCCTCTTACCCGAAAAGCAATGTTTTCCTTTTTTGCTTTTTTCTTTTTAAACTGAATGACAAGAGGGGGGAAAAAATCCTTTAATGCTCCTAATCTGATTTAAAGCCCCAGAAGACATAAAACCCATGCTGGAGTGTTCAGTTGGTCTGTAGACCGAGCTGCTTTTTTGTGACAGCCGCTAAAATGGGTTGACCTGCGTTAACTCAGTTACTCCTCCCGAGAGTCTGACAGTTCGTAGGGAAGATGCCATTGCTATCGTCATTTTACAAATGCAGCTTAGAGAGGTCGCACAGTTCAAGGAGCCAAGTTGGGACTCACACCAGGGCTGTCTCTTGGCTCCCTGAGGTCCTAGCATGCAGGGGCTGACCTGGAGTTAAGCTGGTGTTTCCTGGTACATCACGTGGGCAATGGGATATGGCACGCATTAGCTTGTGGCTCTCTACAAAGCATGCTTCCCAGTATCCACACCCCTGAATAACCTCTTCCCCATTGCCTGTGACCTGGGCCACGTGACTTGCTTTGGCTCATGGGACATTTGGAGGCATGATGCAAGCAGAGGCTTGATATGTGTTTATGCATTAGGGCTTGTCCTCTGGAATACTCTCTCTCGGAGTCGTGGCTGTTCCAGCCATCCCAGGGAACACTGCAGACATGTGAGGAAAAAGCCATCGTGGAGGTCTAGCCCAGCAGACACCACGTGGAACAGAAGAACCACCCAGCTAAACTCAGCCTCATTGCAGAATTATGAGACTTACTGTTTAAGTCATAAGCCCGGGGCACTCTGCCATGCAACAACACGTAACTCTGTTGGCCCACAGATAGCAACAGAGGCCAGACCTGTCCCTCAACCATGAAAATGGCTCTAGTACCTCAAACCAGATGCTAGTTCTCCCTTTGGCACTTCCACCGTGACCTGAAAGGTCTTTCTTATCGTGAAATTTTGCTGGACTCAGGTCAGTGACAACTTTGATATCTGTTTTCTCTTGCAGGACCTTTTAGAACCTTGGGTGTCACTCTTGGGAGACAGTGGGGAGATGGGTGCCACCCAGAGAAGATCAGACCAATGTAGGGAGACTTGGTCTGAATCAAAACCAGATTAAAATGCAGCATAATCTGGGGGCACTTTTCCAGGAGGGAAACCCCTTTTATTATCCGAGGCCATTGGTGGTTCTCCCTACAGAGCTGTGGTGATTAGCGGAGCTGGGTGGTGCTAGTAGACCCACCTGTGTGGTAAGGTTTTCGCACCTGAGTCTGGCCCAAGCTCCATTTCCTTCTGGGAAGCTAAGTAATGATCAGGGCCACTTCTGTTCTGCTCTGACTTGCTGTCTCCCGTGCAGAAGCTGGACGCCTCCGGGATTCCTGGGCTCTACAATGCGGGTATTTCCAGGGATTTTTTTTTTCTTTTTTAAAACATCAATCACCACTCACCTCCAGCCATGCTGGACATGTTTCTGATGTTTGGTTTCTTTTGTAGAATCAAACTCCTTACAACAGAAGGAGGGCAGGACTTCAGGTAGCATACGATGGTCATCACACCTTCTTTAATGGGTCATGGAGGATCTAAATGAGGGGGCGAAGGGGAACAAATGAGAAAGCACAGCTCCCCTGAAGGTGGCAGATTCAGCGTCAGACACCACCTCCCATCCAGCTCTGGGCTGTTCTGGCCCTGACCTGGGATGGGTGTTGGTTGGAGCCAGTTCTCCCTCGCGCCCTTTATGCCTTAATCTCTAATGAGAAATCCCTAACACTTCAAGACCTTTGCTTATGCCCTTCCCCTGCCCTGGAATGTCCTCCCTCCCTCCCAGAAGGCCTCACCATTCCTCAGAACTGGTTCAAAATCGTCCACTTCTGTGACAGCCAGCAGGCTCACGCGGGCTCATGCTGGGCCTCCTAGACGCCCATCGCATTCTTTGAGCCACTAATTTTGGCCTGGACTGCTGTTGACTTCATGTTCTACTTGACCCTGAACCCCCTTTCTCTCTCCCAGGGAGACCCAGAGTGCCTAGAGGGCAGGTTGCATCTTAGGGCTCTTCTATAGGCACCATCTAAGCACACAGTAAACATAAAAAATATTTACAACCGAATGAATGAATGAATGAATGAATGAATGAATGCTATGTGCAATCACAAATGAACTAGCAGGCCGAATTTTCTGTCCATATGTGACTTCTGTTATTTAGTTTTAGGTCCTAAAGGAAGGGATTTTTTCATTTTCTTCTTTATATCCCCTCCAGGTAGGTACTACTCCGGGTAGGCACGGTGCCTTACACAGATTTGGGGTGAATGAATAAATATTGTAGATTTTGAAATACAGAGATGGCCTCAAAGCTCCAGGAAATTACATTCAGAAAAGAATCCTATTAGTTGACTTCTTATACTCCAGAAAGAGAGGTTTCTGTGTGTTAGCAAAACCTAGGTCACATTGTGTTGGCCTCCAAGGCACCACCCATGCCCTCTTTATCTAAATATACCCAGTGCCTAGCATAGTGCTTGGCACAAAAATGGGCGTTCAGTAAGTGTTTGTTGAATGACTGGCTGACTGTAGAAAGGATGAAAGCACAATTCGAAGGCCATGTCCATAACGAAGGCTCTGGACACGCCTGATTTTCCACAACTCTTTCTATCTAAAGAGAAGAACCCAGTGGGATTCTAAATCACCAATGTAGGTTTCAGCTCTACTCTCAGAGACAAAACTATGTAAACCCCATGGCCATTTTAATGAAGAATTTGAGATTGTATAAAATCTCTAACAACAACAACAACAACAAATTTTTTCAACTATGGCCCTGGAAGAGGTAGAGATGTATTTAAAACTGACAGGGAGTGCTTTCATAGCTGCAGGAACAAAGTGCTGTGAGGACACAGAGGAGAGAACATTTGGTCCTGCCTGGCTGGGGCAGGCGGGTGCTGGGAGGGTCAGGTGAGGTGGGGTTCCATAGTCCAAGATGCTGAGGCTTAAAGCAGCTGCTTTGGCAAGTCAAGCCCGTGCTTGCCTGCTGGACGAGAGAGCCTGCCTGGGCCTGGCAGACCTGGCCTCTTGGCCAAGCCGCTGAGGCACCGGCGAAGGCCCTGGATGTCTGTGGTTCCCCATGGTCACCGCGGAGGGCTTAACACCTCAGCCAGGCACTCAGCGAAGGTCAGAGACAGAACTATTCCATAACCATGTGGGGACAGGGGCCAGACAATAATTATTGTCCTCACTTCATATCTGGAGGAAAGAATGAAGTTTATCCCAAACCCAATGAAATGAGAGACCCCACAGATACCTGCTAGCCCTCACACCCCCTGCCCCCTATTATAACTTGACAGAGTGGCAGGTACAAGCTAGGTGCTGGTCTATAAATAAATTGTCAACAGAAGACCAAAATCTGAGGATGATTGCCTTTCCTTTATTTACTTATTGTTGTAATATAAATTCAAGTGAATCTAGGTCATTCCTGTAATAACGTTGCTTTTCTGGCCTGGAGACAAATGAGTTTAGCTGGAAATCCTGCCCTGTGAAATGCATGCTGGGAGTGTGCCAGGCACCTGAATATCACCCACGTACATGCTGGGAGGGAAAGAAGGCTGAGAACCCCTACCTCACAGAGTCATCCCCTTGAAGGAAGGGGTCAAACAGAGCAGGAAGTACATGCTCATTGGTTCTTGCCAAAGAAATGCCCTCAATATGCCAACCAGAGAATGTCCAGTCATTGGCTAAATAATAGCAACTCCCACCATATGTGGGACCCCTCTGTATGATAGGCACTGTGATAGGCCCTGCACCCTCACTGGTTTACAACCATTGGTTCCTCACTACCACCCACAAAGAAGACATTGTTAATCCCATTATAGACAAGGGAGCTGGGGTTCAGGGAGGTCAGAGATGTTACCTAGTTTGTGGTAGAACCCAACTCCAAAAGTAAATCTAAGTTCATACCTGCTTGATCAACATCTACCTATCTATATCCATCCATCCATCCATCCATCCATCCTATGGTGTTTATAGGAATGATGTCCTCAGTAGGAATAGTGGGGACCTTCTCCTTTCCCCTTTCCCCAAGGTGATTCTGGGGCCAGGGTCTCTTGAGCTCATATGTTTCTTTGGGGACTGAACCTTGAACTTCTCCAGCTTTCCACCAGTGTCTGCAGTGAGCTCACTGCTGAGTGGCCCTAGTGGTCCAGGCGTCTCATTGCCCAGCAAGCTTTTACTTTAGAAGTGAGATAAGGTGGAGTCTAATCAGTAAGCCTTGGTTGGACTCAAGAAGCCCCCTTTCTGCTTCAAGTTCTTTCTTTTCTCTTTAGATATTAAGAAACTATCATTCCCTAGCATCAAATATACCAGAGAAGGGGTCCACAATCAATTCCTTAGCAGGATCTGACACATCTCAAACCCCAGTATAAAAATATCTCCTCTATGCCTCTCACTGATGACTGAAATTCCACTATTAGAAAGTCATTCCTCTGCTTTACCCCAATTTAATCCAATTCTAGGAATGTTTCCTACCTACGTGTTCAAACAGTGGGTTGAATGATGCCAGCACTTGGTCGCACTTTTTGTAATGAAACCACTTAGGAACAACCTGACAGAGGTTAATTAAATACTGGTTAAATAGAGAAATAACTAAACTGAGGGACATCCATGCTATACAATGTGATACTATGTAACCGTAATTAAAAAGAAGGAAGCAACTCTCTATACACCTCATATGAAACAATGTCCCAAAGATGTACAATAAATAAGACAAGGTGGAGAAGTCTATGTTACGTAACACCCCCCACAATCCGTTCAAATCCACATGGACCATGTCGGAAAGGACGGAGAAGTGGTACTGGCCGAGAGGAGATTAGGTGGATGGAGACCAAGCAGGAGCGGTGGCTGTCTTATGTGAACACATCCTGCCATGGGGTGGCCCTGATGGAAGAAGGACTTCCTGTTGTTTATCCCTTCTATCATCAGGCCCAGTTTAAAGAAATAAGGCACTCTGATAAAATGTCATCCCTTCCAGTTCTGGGGATTTGGGTTGCTCACCAGTTTTTTCATTCATTCAGAAACTATTTATTGAGTCCCAACCATGTGGGGTCCGCTGCGTGAGTACACAGAGTTGAGTACAACAGAGCTTGTCCCCAGTTTAAATGGCATGAAGACTGTGGTGATGATAAGGCAGCTATCGCTTACTGAGTACCTGCGAGGTACCCACATGCAGATGGCGGCTCGTCCCCATGACAACCCGTGGGCCAGGCCGCTTCTACCACCAGTTTGCATAGATGGACACTGCGTGGAGAGCTCAAGCAACATACATTTGGCTGAGGGGCTCGGAGTTCAGAACCTGGATTCAAAGGCAGCAGACCCAGCAGACCCCAGAGCCATAAGCCGGAAGGCCCTGCGGGGAGCCGGGAAGGCAGGTGCCTTTCAAGACTGTCTACCTGACGCACACCTGGCCCTGTGGAGAACCCCAGGCAAACGACGGGAGCAAAGTGAGCCTGGTGTCCAATATCTGAAAAGTCATTCTCCAGTGAAGAGGGTCCCAGGATAAACAAACAAAAAGATGGTTCCCAGAGAAGCGGAAGGGGGACATGCGAGGGTACCAAAGGCTCAATATTGGGATTAAAGTGTTAGCCGACTCGTGAAAATAGTCCTTAGACATTAAAAGTCCTCTGCAACGTACTGGTTTGACTTGACCAAAGTCAAACCTTAGCTTCTTTTGCTATTTCAAAACCCAAAGACCAGTGTTGCTTTGAGCTATACTCTAATGGCACTAAATTCACCTCTCTTCTAACCTACCTCCTCTTCTCGCAGACTCTAAACTCCTCAGGGAGGCATCCTAGGCCCCCATGTCTCCTTTCCCCTGCCCCAGCCTCCACACACAGTAGTCATCTCACTTCCTTTCTATTTCTCTCACACAGATTCTCTACTTGGGCCCAACTCTATTCACTGCCTCGAGGATGCTCACTGTCTCATGTCCACTCTCATCACACACACACACACACACACACTCCCAGCTTCCTTTCCGGACACCCCCAGTTTCTCCTGGTCTCTGCCCTAAAGCCTCTGCCTCCCTGGCTGACTCCAGGCAGCTAGCCTCACCTAGCTCTGCAGGAGGGGCCTGCCCTCTCCTCCACACTCACACCTCAAGTTTCCAGGCCTTCTCCTGCACAGTTCCCTAACGCCCAAACACTTCTCCCCTTCTGACCTCTGAGCTAACTCCACTGACACCTCTCCCACTCTGTGCCAATTACTGGGGTTCTGGGGGCGCAAAGGAAGGGGGCCTTCATGTGTGCTCTGAATTGGAGTGGGGTGGAGGCTTGCACAGTGCTTGGGGCCCAGTCCCAAGCTCCCTCTGACGGCACCCCCACCTTACTAAGTCACCAACCACAAAATTAAGTGTGTTCAGGCCCAGTCCAGCACGCATGAATCCATTCAGCAGGCATCGGGGCACGGAGCACAGATTCAGTGGTAGCTGTCCGGCTTCTAGACCCGCCTCTACACTTAGGAGGGGATCGTCGCCCTCTCTGCACCTATTTTCTCATCTGTCAACAGGACCTAAGAACAGCCTGCACCTCACTGAGCTGTGGTGGGATGAAATTAGCTTACACATGTGAGATTCTTAGAATAATCTCTGGCCGGGCCTACAGTTCGTGCCATGGAAGCACTGCCCACCATGAGGAAGAGGACAGCCACAGCCCACGCTCACAGGGGGTTCACCTCCCTAGGGACAGACATTAACCACATAATTACCATTGTGTCTGTCTCCCTGGGAGAGACAGGGAAGTAAATAGGTAACTATAACACCCTGTGCTGAGCGCTTGTGGACCACACGGACTCCAGGTGGAGGGGGAAAAGGCGCTCAGTCTAAAAGGAAGCGTGGTGGTCAGACTAGCAGACGGGTGGGGACGGAGGGCACTCTCCGCCAGGGGACAGCCTGAGAAGGCAGGAAGCACACAGCAGCGGAAAGAAACGAGCTTCTTGGGCTGAGGGAGTATATGACGCAAGGGAGGAAGTGGGGGAGCAGGGGCCGGGAGGCTTAGCAGAGGCCCGCTCTTGAAGTTGGGGTTATCCCCAGAGCGATGGGAAATCATAAAGGTTTTCGGTGGTGGAGTGACTTGGTAAGACTTCATCTCTTATGAAAACGGCTCTGGCTGCAGGTGGGGGATGGACTGCAGGGCAGGCAAAGTGAGAAGGCTGGCAGATGAGAGGGGAGGCCAGGCCAGAAAGATGAGCATTTGGAAAGTCTCCCTCCCAGAACAGAGCCTTGCTGGAGAAAGGCTGCCTTAACGCCTCGTGTGCCCTGCTGGACCAGCCAGGGCTCAGCACACTCAGGGGTGGCGGACACACACACGCAAGAGAAAGAGAGAGAGAGAGAGAGAGAGAGAGAGAGAGAGAGAGAGAGGGAGAGAGAGAGAGTTTCTGTTTTCCTTCAGTTCCACCAGGGCAGGACTGTTGATCTGTTTTATTCCTTGCTGTATCTCTAGCACCTACAATAGTGTCTCACACATGGAAAGCACCCAATAAATGTCCACAGTTGGTGGGAGGTGGGGGGGGGAAGGGGGCAGGTTTGGGCAAAGCAATTGACACTCACAAAGGTATTACTTGACCAAAGTCAAACCTTAGCCTCTTTTGCTATTTCAAAACCCAAGGACCAGTGTTGCTTTGAGCTATACCCTAATAGCACTAAATTCACCTCTCTTCTAATCTATCCCCCTCTTCTCACAGACACTGAACTCCTCAGGGAAGCATTCTAGGCGTTTCTCCCCTCCCCTGCCGCAACCTCCACACACACACCTCAAGGTTCCAGGCCTTGTCTCATGCTGTTCCCTCATGCCAAAACACTCTGTGAAGCCATCACAGCTCTAGCTCTGTGGGCCAACAAGCACGGGAGCACCTGGTATGTAAGCAGGAAGTGACCTTGAGGGGTACAAAAAATAATAGAAGGCACAGCCCATTTCCTCGATGCTCATAGTCAAGAGCCAAGGAGATCACATTATCACCAGCATAAGCAATTCACGGTATTACGAAAGTCCCTTTCTGTCTCCTGGATCACTTCCGCAGAGTCCTACACTTGATAATGGGAGAACAGTATAAGTAGGTGTACAGACCTTGTCTCCACTCGTTAATTTCTGTAGTGGGAGTTGCTCGATGTTTGCCAAGACACTTGCTGGTGGCAGCCTAAATACAACTGCACATTTGCAAAATAGATGTTCCCGTAAGGAAGAAGACATCCGAACTCTATAAATATTTTATAAAAATTTTTTCATTACCAGGACAGAGACAAAATGTTGGGGAAATGCTGGCAGAAATGCGTATTGATTGGCATTATTGATTAGTATTGTTTAATAGGTGAGATAGAGATACATGTGCTCTCAATACACAAAGGATTGTGAACGAAAGAAGTTTTTTCAGCCAAAGCCAATGGCGGTCCCTTCTCCTTCCCTTCCTGAACAATTCAGTCCCAATGCCATGAAGGTGGAGCAGAGTGAGGTAGGAGTTCATGGTCGGAGGTGGAGGGCAGGAAGCCCCGGTGGCCCAAAGCAGGGATCAGAGCCCAAGTGATGAGAGGACATCCCCAGGAAGGGTGGTCTGGCCTGTGGTGTCATAGCCTGATCAGGGTAAGGAGGGACCCTTCAGAGGCTTGGGGAATGGCAGCCTGGCATGTGGTATCAGAGGGTAAGCAGTGTGTGTGTGTGTGTGTGAATTTATAGTCCTTAGCTCTGCCTGGGAGAAGCAACATTTCAATAGGAATGGGCACATCTAGTCCCCAGATCCTGGATGACAAATACCATTTTCCACGAAAATAAATCAAGACTCCTCTGAGAAACGGTTGATTCCACAACTGGGACAAGGAAGTCAGTAGGATGGGCCTGGGGCATCTTGTCGGGCCAGAAAATGAGGATGTGCTCAGCATGACGGGGCCATATAGAAAGGACACAGGTTGCAAGGGCTGTCACTCGTTAGATTGGGGACAGTGGGAGCTTCAAAATAAATAACGAAGGGAATGGAGTATAACTCACTAACTAATATAGGAACCCATAAGTCCATATGCAGAGAAAACATAATGAAGTTAATGAGCAATGGGATATTGACATGGTTTCAAAGTACCTCCCCATAAAAAGACTATTAGTTACAAAGAGGAATAAGACTGTCTTAGAGAAACCTGGTAGATGCCACCTTAATCACGTGATCAAAGTGAACATCTTTAGTACAGGAACAAATTAGATGGTGAACCCCTTGGTAGGGGGCAAGGAGAAGAACGCAGTGTCCCTGTTGGGATATTCCTGCCAAAGATGCATAACCTGAACCTGGAAAGGAAACACGAGACAAACCTTCACTGAGGGACACGCCATAGCATCTATGATCTTCGAAAGTGTCAAGGTCATGAAGAGTCAAGGAAAGCCTGAGGAGTTGTTTTTCCAGACTGAAGGAGACTAAACAGACATAGCTAAATGCAAGAATGATTCTGGACTGGCTCCTTGTCGGGATAAAAAGACAGGATTGCGATAATTGGTGAAACTTGAAAGGAGTCTGAGGATTCGATGGTAGTGATGAATCTGTGCTTGTTTCTCTGTTTTGATGGTTGTGTTGTGGGTCGATGGGAAAGTGTTTTTCTGTGTAGGAAAAACACAGGAAAGTTAGTGGAAGATAATGGTGCTTCAGGGCTACTTATTCTCAGAGAGTTCACATAAAAAAAGAAGGGTTTTTCGGTACTGTCCTTTGTGATTGCTTCAAATTTAAAAATGATAAGAAATAAACTATAGAAAAAATCAATTAGTAGTTAAACAAACTGTGATATATACATACAATGAAATGTTATTTAGCCTTTAAAAGGAAGGAAATTCTGACACATACTACAACATGGATGAGTCTTGGGGACATCATACGAAGCAAAACAAGCCAGTCACAAAAGGACAAATACTATATAATCTCACTTATATGAGATACCTGGAATAGTCAAATTCATAGACACAGAAAGTAGAATAGTGGTTGCCAAGGGCTGGGGACAGGGGGAATGGGGAGTTAGTGTTTAATGGGGACAGATTTGAAGTTTAGGGTGATAAAAATGTTCTGGAGATGGATGGTGGGGACGGTTACACAACAGTGTGGGTGTACCCACTGCCACCGTACACTGAAAACTGGCTGGGATGATAAATTTTATGTTACATATATTTTACCACAATAAAAAGAATTTAAATTAAAAAAAATTAAACTGTGATTGTTAAGGCACATTCACATTAAATGTTTAGTTTCAAAGTGTTGGTGTAAAAAGTGACACCATCGATGTATATCTTAAATGAAATATCAAATCTCTCAACACAGGGTTCCTATTACAACACCATGCAAAGGAGCTCATCTTGGGAAAGGAAGGTTTTTGTGTGCGTGCTTCACATCAACTTCACGACTCTCTGAAACTTGGGAAAAACGCTTTCTGCTAAACGTGGCTGTGAATGTCCATTCTTAGAAAGTTATAGAATATTTGAGAGCCTCGTTCTTCAAAGCAAATCTGTTTTTTTGTTACTTAGTCAAATAAAGCAATTCAACCAAGCGGCAAAACTCCAAGTTATAACACTGCTATGGGACAGAAAGGCAAGCTGTTTTGTTGCACAGTTGGCTGGGCCTGCAAATCTAGAGCACGCACGTTTGCTTATTTAATTCAGAGGTTCTGCAATGCCCTGCCAGACGGAGCAAATGTCTGTAACCACGAAACATGACACACGGGTTCAGATATAGGGTGAGGGTATGATGCTGCTAACAGTAAGTGCCAAGTCACATGGCTGTATGGGTGAGTCCTAAGGATAAACCAGGCAGTTGCTGAAATGTCTAGTTCCACGGCACGGCTCAACCAACAGCATGACCTACAAGGCTACTTGAAGGTCACTGTGAGCGTCACTTCCCGGTTAGAGGAACTGAAGGCTCCATGTGCTTCCACCCCTGGGAAAGGGCTTGCCGAGTGACAATGACCTGACACGTTGCCTGCATGCACAGAAGACATGCTGGACTAAACAGCAAAGCACCTTGATGCTTTGGGCCTCGGACTCTTTATGTCAAATGCCAGACATGCCAGGGTAGACATTTCTTCAGTGCCTTCCAACTCTATGATTTTCATAACCTGTGACTTCGTAGGCAATGATTTATGAGTTGATGGTGGTAATAATTATTCAAGTTTTTAAAAATTCCTTTGTTAGGGGTATATGTGTGTGTGTGTGTTTCTTTAAGTGAGAGTAAAATTAACTCTCAGTTGATCAGTTCTTAGAATTGATCTCAGAACCATACATTAGTCCAGAAATATATTTGCCCTGCCCTGAAGGAAGTATGCCACCTGATAGAATAAATGTGTAGAAACAAACATATATAATAGAGCCCCATTACAGAAGTAGATATTATGGGACAAGTATAATAATACACACCCTTTAAACTTAACCCTCTTATGCTAGGCCTAATAGAAGACAGGTTTAAAGGGCAGATATGTATATTGGGTAATGTGTCAGAGGACAAATAATTGGTCTAAATCCAATTAAAAAGGAAGTAGGCTCAACCAGGTTCCCTTATATATACTTATATGCAGGGATGGTAGGGGCTACAGGGTGGTTCTAGCACTTGTTTCAAAGGGTCTTTTGGTCCATTAAAGCCATTCAGAAGAAGTTGAGGCTGGGCCTGAGCTTGTACTGCCCGAGGTTTCAAAAACTGAAAACCACAATCTCAGACGTGATTATGCCCTTCCCTGCTGTGCTTGCGGGTTGAGATCCTCTGAGAGTTTATTTTATGAGTATTCCTGGCCACCAGATTTTCAGGACTCAGTCCCTGCTCCACACGCTCTTTATTACCCGTTGCATCCAACCAGTGACAGTTCCACATCCAGGCAGGACGAGGACAGCGTGATCCCAAAATGGTGGGGACAGGAACTCTGGCGGAGTTAGTCGAGAGGCCACTGTTGGCGGAGAAGGTTGCTGTGCTGGGCAAACTGGGCAAAGCTCCTGATGAAAGTGCCCTGGGAGGACCCAGAGAGACGGCCCCAAGGGTGCTCCCGGAGGGAGGGCATGCCGTCAGGGACCTCAGACCACCAGGGTGAGAAAGCTAGAAGCATCAGGGGGCCATCCTACAGTGGTGCCTTCTCCCCTTGTCGGGGGTCGGTGGTGGGGGGGGGCTAGGCCCTTTGGGGGTCCTGCGGTGCACAGCAGCCAGAACACGGCAGAACCCCAGCTCTCCTAGCACTCACGCATTGCCATGGGAACAGCTTGGCAGCCCTGCGCTGGGCGGTGTGCTCCATCTATTTCTATGGCACCTATCACCATGGCACCTACTTGCTCTGAAAAAACACAGGCTAAAAACAGAACATAAAGAAAAGGGGGCCATCCACTTCCCTGCCATCACCTCTCCTACAGCTGTTGCTATACTTCTGACAGCTCATGTGGACCTTTTCCGCTCCCAGTTTCCGTGTTTTCGGTGTAGGTGGCCTTAAAAAATAAAAGGCTTACTATTTGCATCAGCATCACCTTGTGGTAAGGGGCCTGAGGCTCCAGGAGGGAGCCCACACAGGAAGTAGCTCCCCCCAGGCTTTTTCAGAGCCCCCCAGAAGGAGTTTAGAAAAGGGGGAAGAAGTGGGGAGTCAGGAAAGGGGACGGTGACATCAATGCACACAGATGACCCAAGAAAGGACCTGTGTTTGTTACAACAAGGGGATCACAAGCTCTCCTGGGAGCACATGGGACATTCTCTTCCGGGATAGATCCACAGGCCAAGCAGCCCCTCTACAGACTTTTCTTAAGTGATAAAGATCACCCTACTCATCTCTGGAGTCAGGCAGAACTTGGGTTCGAATCTTGACTCAGTCACTTGCCAGCTATGTGAGGTCAGTGGGCACCCGCTCAGAGGTTAAATGTACTCATCTGTCAAATGGGGATAAGGACACACACCCCACAGGGACAAACCACATGCTGTGACGTCAGCCTTCATGCTCATCCCTTGGTTTGCCTACCTGTAAAACGGGGAGAATAACCGCACCTGCCTCGAAGGAGCTTGGTGGCGATTTGCAGAGACAATGTGTGGAAAGTGCTGAGCAGAGCACTCCTGGAGAGGAGGGTGTGAGATGGAGGAAGCAGTGATGACGGCCAGGACAAGGATGCCCGGCAGGTCCTGCTTCCCCTGGGCCCGACTTCCTGCCCTCTGTCCCACTGGGGCAGGCACATGAGCTGCCAGCCCCAGCTCCCGACTCCCACACTCATCTAGTCCTTGGCCACAACAAATGTAACAAAGGACAGGCTCATGCAGAAGGGTCATCAGTGCGGGCGCTTGCTGTGACACAACAGACCATGGAATTCTCACCAACTGGAAAAAACCGCAACATGGTTGCCTACCTGTGGGCTTTGGAGTCCAGCAGCCCTGGGGGCTCCAGGCTCCCTTCTCCCACCTATGGGCTGAGTGGCTCTGGACACGTCCCTTAACTTCCCTTTCCTCCTCCATCTGTGAAATGGGGGTGACGCCTGTTGTTTCAGAGGGAGGTTGGGAGCATTAAAGGAGAAAATGCAGGAAAAGCCTCTGGCACAGAGTCAGCACATGGTGGGCGCTCCGTAATTGTGAGCTCCCTTCTCTATTCACCACACTGAATGTTTTAAGGCAGAGTAAATATTTAATGACTAAAGGTTTAGCCTTTATAATAAAAGGAAACAGGCCCGTTTCCTGAATTTGCTGGCGGTGCTGGTAAATGCTACGGTGAAACTCCCAGGCTCACTCCAGCCCCCCCACCCCCACCCTCTCCCCAGGCCCCCCAGGGCCCCCACTGCCTTTTTAAATGCCATTTCTTACAACTCCCTCTCAGGAATGCTCTGCTCGGCCAAACAAGGCTGTGGGCTCACTCTCAGACACAACTTACTCGTTCCTTCTTTAATCTATAGAAGCAATTTCCCTGTTGCAAGCATTGTGGCTGTCTCCCTGCTAAATCCCACCTGCCACGAGCACCCCAATTTCCACTTGGGGATCCACGGGCTTCCAAGGACCTGGACTCTACCGCAAGGGTCTGGCCGTGGAACACGTGACCTCAGTTACGCCAATCACATAGTTTCATCCCTTGCATGCAGGGATTGGTTCATGTGGCCTAGGTTGGTCGAATCAGAATGACTCTCAGGACTCCTCCTGAGACCGGGGACAGAAGGTCTGCAAGGGCTATGGATGTGAGGCCTGGAGAGCTCCAGCAATTTGGCCATTGTAAGCAAAGCCAGCCGGTAGGCAAGAGTGACACATGCAGAACACCAATAAAAGCACTGCCAAGAACTGTAGCTGCAGCTTTGACAGCACTATGAACACCTGGATGGAATGGCATCTCACGCTCGCCCTACTTATGAATGTCTTAGTTCCAAGAATCAATAAACTCCATTTATGTTCAAACCAATTGGAGTTGGATTTTCTGTAACATGAGGATAAAAGCACCACCCCAGGGCCCTCGCCACATTCGTCACCTAATTCCGAAGTTAGGTCTTAAGGAAATCCACTTAATTCTATTTCTTCCTTTACCCTCTGCCTCTATGTACTGTTTATTAAGGCTTGACACGTATGCAATCCTAACCATAAAACCCTGTCAAATCGGTAGTATCTCCATTTTTCTGACCAAGACAAT